CATGCTCGCATCTTATACCCAATATTAATAGACATATATAGAATTAACATGTATATCTTCAATTATAACACTAACTGAATCTAATAAATAATGAAATCAACAAATAGACAAGCATTCTCAATTCGAATTCAGAGCATTAATATTCAAATATTCATTAATCCATAACACAAAAATACAATCCTATCTAGATCATTCATCTCCTATTCCGACACATCTACTCATTTACATTTCAACTCTTCTTTTAACGACCCTTCCCGCGTCACTGGGATGTTATAAATGGTCCCTATATTTTTAATATGTACTGTTGGTAGAGTGGGTATGGGTTTGGATACGGTGCGGGGGAGTCTAAAACCAAACACAGCCCATCCCCATCAAACTTTTTACGGATTTTACGCATACCCGTCCCATACCCAGTCAATGCAGGGATGCCCCGCTTTCACTTGGTCAGAGCAGTCGGAGCACCCACGATTGCGAGTTTGATTATTATCTCTTTTTTTTTTTGGATAAAAAGTTTGATTATTATCTACTATCCATCGATCTCATAGAGATGTAAAAAGGGAAACTATAGATTTCAGAGGAAAGTTATCGTAAATTTCTAGACGTGTAGTTAAAACTCTTCTCAAATCTCTCATGAAACTTCAACGTAACGGACCATATTACATTCGTTTCACGTAGAATTTTTGGGATAAACTAACTCAAATAGACATCTTCCTACTCAGTAACAAAAGAAGTGGGGAGAAAAAGGAAGAGTTCCACTGTCTGGTAGGGGACACAAACCCATTTGTCATTTCTGGTCATGACAAAGACATACATAGAAAAGAATAATCTTCTATAGTGCATCTTTTTTTCATGTGTGGTGATGCATACATGTAGATGAAGGAAGGAAGGAAGGAAGGACACCAGCAGCAGCAGGAGAGGAGTCAAATAATTGGTGTCCGTACAATGTAACATAGGGCAGAATATTTGTAGGGTCGACTACTGGTCGTCGTTATGCTGATATATGGTGTGTTATCCATATCCAGAAAACCATTACATGCAATTGGTCAAATCCTATTCTGTAAAGCCATTAGAGGTGTCTGCGTCTGTCACCAATTTGATTAAAAGCTGCCTGCCTGTAGCCACATTGTGTGGAACGCGATATGTGTATCAACGAGGCTGGTTTTTTACGGTGTATTCATAAAAATAAGTGTATATTATATTCTCGATTATATAATGAATTTTAGAATATTGGATTTTGGATTTTAATCGGTAGTATATAACATAGGATCATAATTAACTGATACATTGTCATAATTCCTAAAAAAAAAATTATTTTGAATCTTAACCCTAAACCCTAGCCCTAAATTGCTAAATCTTAAATCCTCTAAATCAAAATAAATCATGAATAATATTTGTGTAAAATTCATGTTTTTTTTTGTTCATATTACAAATGATGATTAATATTGTTTTGATATGATCAATCGTCTGCTCATAATGACGATTTTGATATGCACTCAGAAAATTGAGTGCATCAAAAAGAAAACCATATGTATTGTTATTAATTATATTTTGATTATGATCTAGGGCGTCAAATGAGAATTGGGTTGCTTTTAGAATTATTAACAACTTTTGAATATGATTGATAACTTTTGAAAGGCCAAAGTTTCGACCTTTTGTTGGTGACGCCATGGCCAATGCAATAGTCATACTCGCCTATACCACCACTAGTATTGTGAGATCGAGCCGATGTGGCAATTCAAAAAATAAGGATTGTGTATCATGTAATGTATTTCCTTCATGATTTCGCAAACATGTTATTTTAGGAAGTTTTGTTGCAATTATTTGTTATAAGCACTCTAGTTGGATTGCTGAAATGTGTTATATCTCATTTAGTAATTAACTAATATTTCTTATAAAGGAAGAAAGGAATTCAAGTAGGCCACTTGGAGGAGGGAGACTACAGACCTACGATGAGAAGGAGAGGAATTTGGTAGTTTATCTGTATAAATATGTGGTTTGTGTACAATTAATAATATGAGAAGATTGAAAATTGAGTTATGTTTCTACGTTTTGTAATTTGTTTAATAGTTTCGTAGTTGTGGGTTGTTCTCGTTATTAATAAAAACGATTTATCTTTTTTTTTTCCTGCATGTTTTTCCAATTTTGAAATTCAACATGGGATAATTGACTAAAGGATTTATATATATGTAACATTAATGCTCGAGCTCTCTTCAATAACCCGAGTTGTCGTTGAAAACTAATTTAAAATATTAAAAAAATATTGTTAAAAAGAAGTAACAACTTGCGAAAGAGGGCTAACCCGATTGGTGGGGGGAAGTGGATTGGCACACGGGATATCGTGTGTTCAATCCCCACCTTCTTCAAGTTGGTGCAACAACCCTTCTGTAGCACACTTACCGGCCAACTATCAATCCACATCGATTGTCGTTGGTGGTTCGAAATTTAGTCTGTATGCTGCGCCGCCAATATGTCACGAATGTACGGATAAGAGTTAATTAATTCGTCGTAAAAAAAAAGTAGTGACAACGTGACATCACCCAGGAAACACCAAACGTTTATGATGTTAGTTCTGAAGAGATGGAATCACTGAAAAGTCTGAACAGTAATTTTCAACAAATTTCTGCTGTGACGTTTGCATGTCTCCCTCCCTAATCATGTTTAATGAGAGTGGAAGCTCCATCCTAATCCAGAAGGGGCTGAAAAATCAAAGACGCCAAGCAAGGAAAGGAAAGGTCCCTTGGATCAATCGTAATATTTTTGCAAAGTGAAGTTGTCTGTCTGTATATGTAATAGCTTTTCATGACAATTGGCTCTGACCAACTTTTGTGTGCTTCTGCCAACCCAAAATTTTAAAAAACAAGACACAAATTTTATGAATAAATACACTTAGCTAGCTTGTAGTGGATTCAAGACCAATGTAAGTGTTCCCTTTTGGGTTCCAGTCGTCCACAATAACAAAAAGGATCATCTTTTTCGACTCCTTAACTACCAAGAAATCCACAATGCCCCATTTTGCCAAATTGGTTGCTCTGCTCAGAAATTATTATATGATATTATTGGTTTCCACTGATTTTTGGGTGCTTACCTAATCTAGCTGATTATGGTTCTCAATCCACGGTTGGGTACTAAAGAAAAATATAACCAAAAGCTATAGGAAGAAGGGGTTTTAATTTGCGTATGCAAACATACTTAATTAACATGTTTTATTAATCGAAATCCGCATTGTGGCTGTGTAATGCGTAAACACATTGTATACTTATCCTCGACCGAGTGTTAATTAAAACGGTGAATTCTATAATATGATTGTTCAGAATTCTTTAAAGTCAATTGATTATATGAAGCAATAATGTGCTAATTTGCAACTACTTAATAAAATAAAATCTGTTACTATGAGTTTTTCTTCAACATGTCGGACCAAAAGGTGACGTGGAGTGTGTTAGCTTGGTTTCCTTAACCTGTTCCTGGGCATAGTATCATTAGCTGGCTGGCTAGTAGTCATAAACAATATAGCTACATTCACAAAATAAATAGTCTAGACTCATCCTCCCTTTTACACAGAACCAAGGTTGTCAAACCGATTTATGCCAGTGTGCCGGTTTAGCAAGTGGAATGGTTCGACCGGTGGCACATACCGGTTTGTGCCGGTTCATGCCGGTCAATCTTACAAATAAAATTATAAATACTCATTTTAAACATGACATTTAACGTCAATACCTAAACATTTATACTTGAATCCAACAAATAACATCAATATTTAACATTTATACTCATAAAATAAATAATAAAATAATTTTTAACAATTAAAGTCACTAAAATAAGGTTATTTTACTTAAAGATTCATATATCAATCATGCCGGTCATACTGGTAATGTCACGCCGATTTTATGACCGATACAGGTTGAACCAGATACCACCGGTGACACACCGGCTGGTGTGACAACCCTGCACAGAACACATTCAACATCCGTAATAATGCCTCAGGTTTTGAGTTTATCTCGAGTTTTGATCCTGTCCAATATAACCATCCACGTGATGAAACGGTTCTTTGGCAAAATGAATTTTCCCCAAATAATTTTCCACCAAAGAACTTCAGGTCTCTTGATTCTTATAGTTGCCCAAATAGTCGAAATGGAGAACTTTAGGCATTTTCTTACCCAACCAAGTCACACATCCGGCAGCGTCAAGGTCTAATCTGAATCGAAACCACGATCTCAACTTCATGGTGCCAAATCCAAGATTCAGAGGCTGTCTTTTGGACTTCCCAAAATGAGACCCCCCGCAACCTAAATTACAAACACTAGGCCACCCAAAAAACTACCACCTCGCATAAGAAGGAGCCAGATTATCCTTTCACTTGGAGTTTAACAAATATATATATCAATATATATATATTCTCCGTAAAAAAGATAATAATAATTGTCAGAGAAGCGTGGCAATCGATAATCCAGATCAACACAAACGAACACAAATTTAACGTGGTTCACTAACACAATGTGTGCTAACTAATCCACGGGCAGGGGGTACAAATTTCACTGATTTGAAGAGAGTACAGGTTACAAACCAAATTCCAAACGGACAAACCAAACAAACTAACCTGACTGATCTTTTCTACAGACTAGGGTTATGAAGAGTATTTAGAGAACTCTTCTCCTAATCCCAAACAGAAAACCAAACACATTTTCCCAAACATACAAGGAAAAAGGTCAAACAAAGTCCAAACACAAACCCAAACAAAATTAGCCTAAAACATAAAACAAACCCAAATTAAATTCAAGTCATATTCTAACAATAATATTATAATTATTTAATAATACAGGGCTAGCTAGGCTGCAACTGTGGGTGGATACTTAGAGGGAAAGAATCCATGCTAGCTAATGGAACATCTTCTCCTTTACGTTAAAAGTATTCAATGGAACGTTTTATATATTTTAATGAACTCGCTTTGCACTGTACTGTCTGCATCAGCTTTTCTGTAAGTGGCATCATCGATCTATTTCAACTGCATGAACTTTTTTTTGTTACGCCCATACATATATGTTATTTTAAGTTTAGCCTTTTTTCATTCCCTTTACAGGATTTTTAATTGTAATTTATGAAATTTTGGGATCGAGTTCTTGACTTCCTTTATTAATGCTTCTACGCGGAAATTAATCAAAGGCCTTCATCAGTCATCACTATCAATTAGACAATCAGTAGTAGCCTGGACGTCTGACTTACATGCATATTATTACATGCATTATAAACCGCTTACAATTCGGGAAGAAATTAAGTTAACATAAAATTATCGTCTAAAAATTTAAAACTAGTATTATTATATATGGCTAGAGGTGGCAATTGGATCGGATTCGTAGATTCGTGAATTGGATTGGTGGATCCATGGATTGGATCAAATGGATTGGTGGATTGATCCATGAATCCAAATGACATCCAAGGTTTGGACCAAAATGTAAATTTTGAAAAGTTTAGGTACTAAAATGTCATAATTAAAAATTTTAGGTACCAAAATGTAAATTTCTAATGATATTTTTCGTATAAAAATATAAATTTTAGGTACCAAAATGTAAAATATAAAAAATATAGGTACCAAATTGTAATTTGCCATTTGGATCAAATGGATTGGATTTAAATGGATTTGATTATGTGGATAATTTGGTGGATGGATTGGATTGGATTCATGGATTTGGATCATAATTGCCACCTCTATATATGGCTAACACCAAAATATGTTACATGTTGGTTGTAAAACAAAATTTATTTTTAGCGACTGAGTTTATCGGGAATAACAAACAAGAAAATGAAACGTATTACATGTAATGACAAAATGTTAACTTTATATAAATGACTGCATCGAAAAATGACTCATCTAATTTTTTTTTTAACAAACAACATGCACATTTGGAAACGCCAATAACAAATGCGTACATTTACAAATACACCGAACAAATCAACCGTTGGATCATGGAATCTAACACTTGTATATATGTTGCATAGGTTGTACATTCAATTTGCACAACTCTTAGGGTCATGCATTACCATTTTAAACGCACTGGACCCATATGTATGCATTTTGTACACAAATTTACATTACGAGTCCTATTTTAACTTGACATTATTATTATTTTTTCCAGTGCATTTTATCTCAATTATTCGAATTCAAACACGTGAGCCACATTCTAAAAGATTTGCCTTTGTCCTGTAGCCTGCACAACAAGATCCGATAGGCCAAAACTCATAGGTATTGTCTTTATTAAACAGTACACACGATGTATAGAAGCCACATTTTTGTTATCCACAGCTCACTAATTACACGTATATATCCATCCAGCAGCTGAGATGATTTCCACCAATAAAGATATATATTGATTCTCACTTGGTTCTACCATTTCCTTCTATGCGGACTTGTGGCGAGTAATCGGTTAATTTGTTGGACATTTGGTTTGACGTACTAGACGATTTTGATAAGAATTTTCGTTATTATTAGCTTATCGACATCGAGGTTTCACAAGGCATGGGACATGATCTTCATTGACATCGGCTTTTTGACGGAGCAGTTATCTTTTTCATTGTTGTTTCGGTCATTTGTGCTTCTGATCTTTGTATAACTTGTATAATAATACATAGTTTGTCTATATATACGTATTGTTTTGGCCTTGTCTGTAATAAGCAATAGTTCGATGTGATTGAACGTTTCGATATGACAATACAATCCATATAAACCGCTGCTCAGTAGTATTTCATCAACACATGCAGTGGCGGAGCCATTTGAGGCCAAGGTGGATCATTTGCACCACCTTGGCCCAAAAAATGTAGAGTAACTTTTTTTTTTATGTTGTTGTGGATTTAGTAAAAGATCCCCATATTATTGTAGATATTTTTTTGAAAAGGTAATGTTTTGTGATCTCTATTTTACTTTTAATTCATGTATTCTGTAAGTGATTTTAATATAAACAAAAAAAACTCGAAATTTAGGAGTGTTTGTCGTTATATGTTGTCATTGCAAGTGTTGAAATGACACTTACTGCAATGAACAAAGTGAAAAAAAAACACTTCAAAATAAGATGAGTTGCAGAATTATGAACGATATTTGGATGTGGTATTTTAACATCCTTCATACTTTTGTATGATGATTGTATTTTAGATAATTTCCAAAATCGAACACATCCTAAAACTTACATTATATATTTTTCCCCCACTTTTGACCTATCTTAGATAAATTTCTAACTATGCCACTGAACACGTGACTCTCAAAAGATTGAATTCGAATCTCTCTCTCTCTCGGTTAATTAATTGCATATTAATTTGATTCTCAATGTTGGCTAGTTCCTTTTGTCACGACTGTTTCTCTTCGCATAAGGAAATTAAATAAGAGGATTCGACAATGCAAGAAAGCAAAAGCACACACGCGCGACACACGAATTACGTGGTTCACTAATACGATGTGTGTTAGCTAGCTAGTCCGTGGGCAGGAGAGAGCCTGTTTCACTACACTTCTAGGAGATACAGATTACAGAGGATCGGAGTATGAGAAGTATTTATCGTACTTCTCCTAGGTCTAACCTTAATCCAATATGATAAAGGAAAAACAGTTACAGACCAGGCCCAGAACACGAATCCAAACAATATTGAGCTCATACACCGTGATGGCGTGACTTCCCGTCGTAGCGGCTTATAGTGTCATTCAAGTCACATCAACGCCATTTTCTCATTGTTGGAAAAAGAAGCTTCATCTTTTTTTTTTTAAATGGGATACGAAAATCTTAGAATTGAACGAAAGTGGAAGAGTGGGCATGCAAGTGCAAGTGCAAGAACTTTACACAAACATCTTTGACTGCCAGAGGGCGTTTGGGGGTGATTTCTGATAGCCTGATATATAGGCCATGATATTATAGCGCATACGATAGGAGCCGCACTGTCGGCAGTAGAGAGAAAAAGAAAAGGCTGCCACTCAATCTATGCAAAGGGATACTACGCGTATTACGTGTAGAAATTCAGACCATTTAGCATTTAGGGCATTGTAACTTTGTGCATATATAGATAGGATCTCGCCTGGTTAGATTTTCTGCAGTAAATTCAGACATTCAGGTGACAGACCCTAAAACGCAATGCACAATCTCAATCATGGACCAGATCAATAGGACGATACCCCAAAAAAAAATCCTGGTTCAGAATGCTAGCCATTATTTGGGGTCTCTTTCTTGAAGGTGAGATATGATATTTGAATGCTCCTAGCCAATATCAATAGTCAATCAACTACTATAAATTCCAAACTAAGAAATCAGCTTTCATTTGTTGAAAGATGGAAGTTAGGGTTTAGGAATTGCAGCAGTTGAAAACCTAAAATTACCTTCTTCTTTTTTACGAGCTAACATAGTCGATATGAGTGTGGGGATGTGCATGGCAGAGTCAAGTAAACTCATCGTCATCACATTATTTCTAGATACTCCTCATACTCGCTCCATACCTCGGTAATATTCGAATTTTCTAGGTTAATTGGATACTTGATAACGGAATTGAGTACCTTCCGATATGAGAAGAATTGTCATCTCGATCTATTTCAAACTAAGCAATACCAAAGCAATTAATTAGTATTACTATGCACATGTGGTATTTATTAACATCTGAACTGTCAGTTTTCCATCATGCTAGCACGAGATAATTCATAATTGTCAAGAATAGTTTATCTCAATAACTCGAGTTATTGGGTGATATTGTTGAATTGTGGATCTTATACAATTTACTAACACACATTCTCAAATGAAAGCCTACTCATATAGCCATATGGGCTTGATGTTTGCATAGGCAACAACACCATGTGCTGACCGCAATAAGGTCATCGAAATTGGAACATAAGGCATGTCGGTCACAGAAGGCTCCGATACCATATCAAAACTGATTGGTAATAATAACCCAAATTGTTAGGAGATGCTCAATTATGAATCATTACGGCTTACTAACAATAATGACTGTGAATCCCATGATTTTGATGATGTAAGTGTAGTTATATTTTCTGTCATTAGCTACTTTTCATTTGATCTATAGCATGTTGGGATGGTGGGTTGGGGGCTTCCTTTTCCTAACCTTATTGTTCATGTCAAAGATTTTGTGCAGACTACAGATTGATATCGTCGTGTATATGAACCTCTCCTTTTCTCTCTTTTTTATGCCTCCCAACCGGATAAGATGATCCCTCTATCTCTCTTGCTGCTTCCCTTTTCCTAGTCCCATTCTTTTTTCTCTGCCTGGCCTATTTATATTTCTTCCTCCTTAAGTCTGAACAGATAGATATGATTTATAGACACAATCTACTCTCTTTTTAAAGAAAAGTACATGCACCTCCTTGTAATGGAACATGCACCTCCTTGTAATGGAACATGCATGAAAATATTTTGTGGGAGAAAAAAAAGATCGAAGAGACATAAGAAAATAATTGAATATAATTCATGATCTTGACAGTTTTTTGTTCAAATCCAGACGATCCTCATTTGTTAAGCATAATATTTGTATTTGTGCAAACTTCAAACTCATATAAGTTGCTTACGTTTGATGGACGTGCTAGTACGTAGTATAAGATTCATTATTAAACCTCTCTCAAGTCTCACCAGCTCGAGTTATTAGAATCAATTGATTTTTAATATAGTAAATATTATTTTAAATAATTGGGGACGAATACTATATTTTCTATAAATAATTGAAGAGGTGAAGAGTAAAATTATGTAACTATATGACAAGTAAACCACACATAAGAGAAATGTATACGTACCATTTACTATCTCTTCTAACATTTCGAGTTATAAATTAACTGAAGTACGGTTATATGGTCACTATAGAAAAGGATCAAGATGTACGAATACATTTCAACATGACTCACTTATAAAATTATATATTGAAATTCCAAAGCACTTTTGCAATATATTTATTGATAATAATGCAATTAATACCCCCCAAGTAGTGATAGTGCCATAGTGTAGTGTTGATATTAACGGGTCATTGTTTCCTGCCGAAGAAAAGAAGGGAAGATCATGAGAGTGGAGAAAAAAGAAAGGCATGATTTATTTGACTGGCATGCAGAACGAGGAAAATTAGTGGAAAATAGAGAGTACTGTAGAAAATGTGATTGAAAAATCAAGGTGCATGCTCTGGATGTTTTAATAATTTGAATTGATATGAATGTTTTAATAAGTTTGAATTGTTTGACAGAGAGTCAATTATATATTGATAATTACTTTATTAACATGTTCCCTCAAATGACACCCAACTCATATGAGCTACCATTTTCTCAAACCGGAGATCGTCCGAGATTTGAATACACAATCTCTCGATTATTGAAAGCTTTGATATCCTGTAAAAGAAACCAATTGGTCGTCACAACATTAACCCGAGTTATTGGGAGCTAGATATTGAATTATGGATCTTACTACCCATCGATATCCAAGCACAGCAAAGGACCCACAACACAATCCAACAACGTCCAGCCCTATAAGTAAGGGTATACAACGGTTCAGATTCGATACAGATCAGATCAAACCATGAGTACTGCGATCCAATAGCAAAGCCGCCAAAGGGTCGCTGTGCGACTTATGGAATAGACGTACAATATTACTAAGTCTAAGATGGAAGCATGTATTTGTTTACTAATTACTTATATCGTTCTTAATCAGCTTGCGGACATGACAGGATACTATTTTGTTCATACATTAAGAGACAGAAGCCTAACACCTGACCTACCTCCGACTCTTCCCTATTTTTATAATATTCCAGAAACAATTTCCAACATATATATTGCCTCCAACCTACCTCAGACTCTTCCTATATATACATGCTTAGCTTCCTGTTTCTTGTTATTGTATATATAGAGGCACCAGCAGATAAATATGATCGAATGATGAAGAATAGATTGAGAAATTTATACACCGTATAAACTGAAACATTCTAGAGCTACAAAGATAATATTCAATTGTTAGCACCGCATAAAAAAAACATTCTTCTCGGATTAGTTGTTAATACGAATAAGAGAGACTCTGTTATAGCCATTTTTTTGCTTTCAGCAAAGTAGGCGGCAGCACGAATCTAGTATCACATATGGAAGACAGAGAGTAGGTCTTTTGTACGTAAGGTGTTGTTGATAACTTCGTTACATTGGTATCGATGGACTACAAAAGTATGTTGATGCATGCTTATGTCTAAGAATATTCTGGGCGTATGTGTCTTCTATATACATTATTATTATTTTGTTTCACTAAACTAGGTTGGATGATTGCTGTATAATAGATGTGAAGGTATAAGTTCATCCGATTGTCTTGGTTAATTAACCATGTTTTTGACGTGAAAAGGCTCGATATTATTTTCCTGCCATGCATATCATAGCTATAGTTAACGTAATCGTTGTAAAAAACAACATTTCCGTCTATCCGAATAATAACGAGCATGAATAGTCAACCGAACAATTGATGTATACCATTGAAAACCTGTTGAGTTATCTTGCATTTTCGTGCTAGAAAAACGGTAGTTTCTGGTTAATAACGCATTTATTGTGACTAACCAGTAACCACCAAGGCATGCAAATATGATGTTCTAGGTAACGACAATAACGACCTCGCCGCAAAAGGAAAATAAGCCATGCATTGCATATTTCTGTTCTGCGATCTATCTTTTTCTCCAGAAGTCGAAGGCTATTTCATTAGGAAAAACCATAGCTCATAAAAAACAAGCTACAGAGAGAAGCAATCAACAAACCCAACAAAAGTAGCCATCCCCAGGAGACAAATCCATCAAATTCTCCCAAAAGGAAGAAAAAAATAATAAGGAAACGAAAAATCATAATCATTCATAAATTTCCGATTATGGTGATGACGAGGGAAATTATGATCAGAAAGAAAGTTAAACAAGAAAAATCCCGACAAATTCAAACTCGAAGCGACGCCGTAGCGACCCAAAACGGCTCCCAATTTAGCAACCCTTTCGCGTTGCCGTTGTTCTCATGTCCACCTTCGTCTTTGCATCTCCACGCGGTGTTCGAGTTTCTGTTATTCCTCCTCCTCTCCACTATTTCCTCATCTCCTTCTCCTTCTCGGATAAGGATTCCTTCTTCTTCTTCTCCTCCATTCCCTCCCGCAATTTCCTCGCTGGCAGTTACGGAAGAGTCAAACTCGGGAGAATCTTTGACCACGGCCACGTGGAGCCTCAACCGACCGTCGATCCTCTCCGCCTCGAAGCACGACGGCTGGGATTGCGATTTGACAGCCTCGATCACCAGCCTCCCTCCTTCCCTGTGCGGCCGCCTCACCTGCACCAGCTCCGGCCCCCTCATCGTCGTCAGAGGCGGCGGGAATCCCCCACTCCCCCTGCGGGAAGAATTACTCCTCGATCTCTTGTAATTACCACATCCACTCCTCGCAGCCGCCGGCTGCGAAACAGGGGAATTCGGCTCCGCCGATTCGGGCGCCTCCCACGTCGGAGAAGGGGAGGAGAAGAGGTAACTGCTGTCGCCGTCGGTGGCGGACACGTGGTCGGTCCCGGTTTCGGACCCGAGATTTTCGGTGCATAGCTCGAGGGATTTGTCGCTGAGGGACGAAACAGAGCGTTTTGTCGCGTACGGGGAAGCAGCAGCGGGTTTTAGGATTTGGGAAGGGGGAGAAGAAGCCGGGTCGGATAAGGTTTGGAGGAAGCTCCACCCGCCCGATTCGACGGCGGCGGCGGCGGGGGTGGGTTTGTGGTGGGTGAGGAATTTGTCGTCGGCGGAGGAGCAGGGCTTGAGAGAGAGCTCGAGGGAGTGGGTGGGTTTGGGTGCGGAGAGGCGCAGTCGGAGGGTTCTGGACTCCACCATTTGGGATTCGAGGCAGGATTGGAGGCCTTGGAAGACGATTGTACCCATTTTTTGGCAGTTTGATTTGTTGTTATAAGCAAAGTTTGATCCTTTTTTGTGGTGGGTTGGAAGAAAACAGGGGAGGATTGAGGGGGAAACAGGGGAATGTTGTTTGTGTGTTCAGAGAGAGAGAGAGAGAGAGAGAGGGAGGTTGTGAATGGAGAAGGGAGAAGAGGACATGAGGATGAAGTGAAGAGTGGGGGGATGAATTTGTAGTGGCCAAAAAGTGAGTGCAAAGAAAGTTTTGGTTTTTTATTTAAATGGCAAAACAGAGGAGGAAAAAAACAGAGAGGAGAAGGGTGGGGGGGAGAAAACAGAAAAGGGTGCCTTTTGGCAACCACTTGGAATTTTTATTTAATAAATTCTAAATCTTACTCACACTGTTTAAGAAGGAGGAGGAGGAGGAGGAGGAGGAGGAGGAGAAAGAGGGAATGAAGGGAGGGCAAAAAGGTTGTGAATTAAAAAGTTTCCATTAGTTTATAAGTAGTGTAAAAATGTAAAGTTGTATTGAAAAAGTCAGTTGTAGAGTAATTTGTTGAAATTGTATTTTGGTCATTTTATAAAGTTAAAAATTTTCTACAAATTTACACTATGATATGAGTGAGTGTTTTCCTAGTCAGACCGTTGATACGGTGTAATTTCATAAACACTGGTTTTTTTATATATTTTTTTATCATAAACTATTATAAACTTTATAAATTAGTGCAAGCGGTTACATTTTTCAGCTCTAGCTGAATTAAAACAGGAGGTCGCTCTATCTAGACTACTCATTCATTTCATCTTGTTTCCGAGTGTGCGATCAACTAATCAAGTGTGTTTCATAGTTGTTCGTACGATATCAGTGCTACCGGGAACCATTTCTTATATCTGTCAGGAAACACTGGTTTATTATTTACCTTTTTGTGTCTATAAAGTGAATTGGCATAAAAATTATTAGTTCAAATTTTTTTTTTTTCCTTTTTCTATTGGAGAAGTTAACAATAAGAAAGAAAATTATATCTATCATATCTCATGTCAATTTTTATCCTTAATGAATTCCAGTGTATGCTTTTGTTTGTATGTCGTCCTTTTATTTTTAGGATCATACTGCATGTAACATACGTACGGTACAAAATGAAACGGTAATATACTAATATAAGTAGATGGTTTATTTTCTTATAAAATCAAAAGTGGGGACAATTACATGGTTTATCACCAATTTAAGTTTTTTCTTCATGTGGGGAGCAAGGGAGGGTTTGGAAGGGAGGCCCTTTTTATTAGGGGTGGTTATACGGTCCGGTCCGGTTAAATTGGACCAAATTGATTCGGTCCCATTCCGGTTTTTTCGAGAATATAAGGACCAAAGATTGGATTGGTGTAACAGCCTGTGCCAGCTGGATGGTGACGTGGAGCAGGGATGAAGATATAAATAGCCGAAGAAGGGAGTTCATTGGATAGTTTTTTGACCAATCATCTCTACTGTAACAATTTTACCAAATTAGTTAGTTAGATAAACAATCCAGACTCTTCTTCTTCCGCTGTAAACTCTCTTCTCTTCCAAAATCTCAATAAACTCGCCAGATTCTCTTGCTCGATCCTTACAAAGTGGTATCAGAGCTCTGAACTCTGGCAAATGGCGTCGCACACGTCCCGCATCATCGACTTGGAGTCGCAAATGGCGGAGGTCCGGCAGCAAATGGATTCTCAGCACAACGATCTCAAAGCCGCCATTGCAGCTCTTGCCTCTTCGACGAAGGAAAATTTGGAAGCTATCACGGCTTCGTTGACGCATCTTCGTGAGAAATCGCCTGTACGAGCTTAGCAACACGCCAACCACGATCCTTTCTTCGACAATCAACAATTCCGGCCTCAACATCGGCGGCCGACGCTTCTGGATCATTACCCCAAGCTAGAGTTCTCTCACTTCTCCGGCGCCGAGCCTCATGCGTGGGTGAGCCGGTGTACCAAACTCTTCCATCTCTATTCAATTCCGGAGGAGCAGAAGGTGGATTTGGTTTCTTATTACTTGGAGGGTCGTGCTTTCACATGGTTTGAGGGGTGGTCCTTCCGTCGTTTTCCTTTAATTTGGGGGCAGTTCGTCGACGACCAGTTCCATCGGTTTGGCAATCAAGAGCAGATGAATGTGGTGGCTGCCTTCAATCAGCTGCGGCAGACGAGTTCGGTTGCTCGTTATCAGGAAGAATTCGAGGAACTTCGTTCGCGGATGCTTCGTCTAAATCCTGAACTCAACGAACAATACTTCATCCTTAGTTTCTTGGGTGGATTGGATGGGGAGATTTAGCCTCGTGTTCAGGTGTTGAATCCATCATCGCTTGCTTGTGCTTTCTACCAAGCACGGCTGGAGGAATCAGCAATTGATGCTAGGAAACGCAAGTCGCGCCAGGTAGGGGTGATAACCGGTTCTGCGGTTAACGTGTTAACCGATAACCGTACCGGTAACCGCGGTTATCGGTTAACCCGTTAACCGAAGCAAACGGTAATCGGCTGGGATTTTGATTGCAACGGTATACCGAGATCGGATTGGAAGAATACCGACGGCCGAACGGTATTCCGATACCGAATTGGAAGTGGCAATCGCCAGCAGAATTCCAAATGTCGACAACCCAAATTCCCAAAACAATTAAACAAAAGCCCTACTCTAAGAGATTAACCTTACGTCCTTATCCTATATTTGCAGCGCTCTTTATTTCCCCTGCCTGTTGCCCTACCCTGCTGGCTGCTGCACGAGCACGACGACTTCACGAATTATAGCCGATCACTGCTCGTTCATCGAACCCGACAGTATCTTCGTCGTTTCTGTCGCCGGCAACAAGCTCCATCCAAGAGACAGACACGACACAGAGCAGCAGCCGTCATCCTCTCCGCCAGGCTCTGTTTCCGTCAAACCCTTTCGTCGTTGCCCTGTTTTTGTCAAACCCCGTCGTCGTCAATCGAAATCGGTAGGCGGTAGTATCTTCGTCGTCCTCGTCGCTGGCGCAAGATCCGGTCAAGAGACACGACCCAGCAGCCCTCGTCCTCTCCGCTAGGCTCTGTTTTTTACTTTTCGTCAAGTCCCGTCGACGTTGCCCTGTTTGCGTCGAACCTGGTCGCCGTCCGAAGTTAATCGCTCGACTGCAGCACAACCCAGCAGCTCAGTCAACCAAATTACCTGTATCCCATATCTTAAGCTTCAACCGTTTATCATTGGCGATGAAAGTCTTCATTTTGAAGTCCACACCTGCATTAGTACAAGCAGAATATGATGTACAGGTATACCAGTAAAGTAAAGCCCACACAATAGTTCCACACAAGCAAATCATAATCAATTGTTGCTTTGAAATTCCTTTTAGTATCTAACAGGGAACTTCCCCCACTCATTTGAGAGTTGCTGCTTACCAAGCATGGGAGTTTGGCAGTTTGCTATCTTCAATTATTGATATTGCCATTTGCTGGACGAGAGACACCGCCTCCATTTCGGGACTTCGGCAAACTGATTCCTTAACCGAGACCGTTTCCAAACGGTTGGCGGTATACCGAAGCAAATCGGTATCGGCAGTCGGCGCCTGCATCAGGTCAGCCGGTATACACGAAACCGGTTAAACGGTAGCCGGTAAACCGTTAACCGTACAGGTTAGCACCAGGCCACTCGTGGCCTGGCGCTTCGCCGGCAACGTCGAACAAACAGTGGTCGCGGGACTCTCCTTCCTCTTCTTCTCAGGATCGCGGTACCATTCCAAGGGGGCAGGGTCTCTATTACAAATGTGGCGATAAGTATTTTCATGGCCACATTTGTGCAAGCAAGAAGCAGATACAATTGATGCATGCTGATAATTCCTTGTTGCCTAGAGGAGAGGAGGAATCAGAGGATGAATTCCAGGATGCCGAGCTGGAAGTCACGTTGCAGGCTATGGGCACGGGCTACTCTGGAAACTCACTGCTCATTCCCGCTACTGCAGGACATCGTGAGGTGACGGTCCTCATCGACACAGGTAGTTCCCACACCTTCTTGAATAGTGTTAAGGCTGAAGAACTTCATTGTAGAACAGAGAATATAGCTCCTATGAGGGTTAAAGTTGCGAGTGGACATACATTGTTGAGCAACTCGGTGTGCAAGGGTTTTATTTGGAAAATGCAAGGTCAAGAGTTCCATTTTGATGTGCGTACCTTGGACTTACCTGCCCATGACTTGGTTTTGGGGTGGGATTGGTTGGAGACTGTCAGTCCCTTTCAGGTGGACTTGAAGAAGCGACAGCTTGCATTTGATTGGCAGGGCAGCACTCTAACCTTGTAGGGATTGACCAAGGAGGGTCACTGTAAGGTGATGAATGGTAGAAATTTCCAACAATTGCTTCGAAAGCCTCTTACACACTTGACTGGTGCTGTGTTCTCCATGGAACCAGTGCTTGTTCCTACTCCACCTCCTCCTTTCTTGCAACCATTGTTGGACCAGTATGCTGATGTGTTTAGTGCTCCCACCTCTCTACCTCCATCACGCCCTTTTGACCATTCCATTCCCCTGTTACCCAACACAAAACCCATTAACATACGTCCTTATAGGTTCCCCCACCACCACAAAGCAGTTGCCGAAAAACTGATAGCTGAGATGCTTCAGTCTGACTTCATTCAACCAAGCCACAGTCCTTATGCATCTCCTGTCCTACTGATTGGTAAGAAGGATGGCAGTTGGCGCTTTTGTGTCGATTACAGAGAGTTAAATGCCGCCACAATCAAAGACAAGTTCCCCATCCCTCACATTGAAGATCTATTGGACGAATTGCATGGTGCTGTGATTTTTTCGAAGTTGGATCTCAGGGCTGGTTATCACCAGATACGGATGCAGCCTGAGGATTAGTTTAAAACTGCCTTTCGCACACATCAGGGGCATTACGAGTTCAGGGTTATGCCGTTTGGTCTTACGAATGGCCCAGCTACTTTTCAGGCACTTATGAATCATGTGTTCGGCAAGCATCTCAGGAAATTCATTCTGGTATTTTTTGACGACATTTTGGTCTATAGTAAGTCAGAAGAGGACCACTTCCAGCACCTGTCTATTGCTTTGCAGCTGCTTCGCCAACACCAACTCTATGCTAAAGCTTCTAAGTGCTCTTTTGGCCAGCCTAAGGTTGAATATTTGGGTCATATTATTAGTGGGGAAGGAGTGGCAACAGACCATACTAAGGTAGCAGCTATGAAGTCTTGGCCAAGGCCCCAAACTGTCAAACAACTCAGGGGATTCTTGGGTTTAACAGGGTACTACCGCAAGTTCGTCAAGCATTATGGCATTATTAGCCGACCTCTCACGGATTTGTTGAAGAAGAATGGCTTCCAATGGTCTTCAGAAGCTGAAACTGCTTTTGACATTCTAAAGACAGCAATGTGTCACGCTCCTGTCTTAGCTCTACCTGACTTCTCTCTTCCATTCGTTTTAGAAACATATGCTTGTGGCTCGGGCGTAGGAGCTGTGCTGACTCAAGGGGGCAGACCCTTGGCTTATTTTAGCAAGGCTCTCAGCGTGCGTAACCAAGGCCTCAACACGTACGAGAAAGAGTATTTGGCTGTCCTCATGGCGGTGGATCAGTGGAGGCATTATTTAGAAGGAAGACCGTTCACCATTGTAACTGACCATGAGAGTTTGAAGTTTTTACTTGGGCAGAAAGTTCACACTGCTATCCAAAAGAAAGGGCTTGTGAAGCTTATGGGGTTAGACTTTCAGATCATGTATAGAAAGGGGAAGTTTAATGGTGCGGCTGACGCATTATCTCGTGTTTTTGAAGATAGTTTGGAACAAGGCAGTTGTGAGGCTATTTCTATGGTTCTACCTGAATGGTTGGGGGAAATTGAACACACATATGTTGGTGATACAGAAGTGGCAGATCTTATAGCTGCAGTTGCCGTCAACTCACATGGGCCATCTCTTTGGGCTTACTCGGCTGGCATATTACGTTACAAGGGGTCCATTGTTGTGGGAAATACAGGCCATATGCGAAGCAAACTTCTCCATTTGTTCCACTCATCTCCTGTAGGAGGTCATTCGGGTGCACAGGTGACTTACCAACGTCTCAAAGCTCACTTCTACTGGCGCGGGATGAAGACTGCAGTGGCGAATTGGGTAGCTGCCTGCGATGTTTGTCAGCGTTGCAAAACAGAAACACTTGCTTCACAGGGGTTACTACAGCCACTTCCCATTCCAGTACGAGCTTGGCGTGATATTAGCATGGATTTTGTGGAAGGGCTGCCTACTTCTCGAGGTAAGCAAGTTCTATTAGTCGTGGTGGATCGATTCACCAAAGCAGCCCATTTTTCAGTCTCAAACACCCTTTACAGCTGCTGAAATTGCTCAAGTCTTCTTCGACGGGGTGTTTAAATACCATGGTATGCCATCCACTATTATTTGCGATAGAGACACCACATTTACAAGTCAGTTCTGGACAGAGTTTTTCAGGCTGCACCATACTGATTTACACTTCTCAACGGCCTATCACCCACAGACAGATGGCCAGACCGAGAGGGTTAATAGATGTCTGGAAGATTACTTGCGTTGTATGACATTCCATAGGCCACATGACTGGGTGGACTGGCTTACTCTGGCGGAATGGTGCTATAATACGCATTACCACCTTAGTCTGCAGATGACGCCTTTTGAGGCTTTGTATGGGTTTCCACCGGCTCTTTTTGGGTTAGGACCGACTCTATCTAATCCGGTGGGAGCTGTGGAGGATCGTGTTGTGAAGCAGCAGCAGCTCGTTCACTTTCTTACGCAGAACATAACAAAGGCACAGAACCGGCAGAAACAATACGCCGTTCTGAAAGAACATTACAGGTTATGGACTGGGTTTATCTCAGGTTGCAGCCTTATCGTCAGGGATCCGTGGTGGGGCGACATGGAAACAAGTTAGAAGCTCGTTTTTTTGGGCCATATCAGATTGTGAGCAAGGTGGGATCCGTGGCGTACAAACTCGCATTACCAGCTCAGTCCAAGGTACATCCTGTATTCCATGTTTCCCAGCTGAAGCTTTGCAAATCGACTGTACCTCCAGCTGCTTTGCACCTCCCAACACAGGACGACAATGGAACCTTGAAACTTGCCCCTGCTCACATTTTGGCTCGAAGGTTTATCAATCGCGACAACCGTGCTTTGACGCAAGTCTTAGTGCAATGGACACATCAACATCCTGAGGAAGCTAAGTGGGAAGATTTGCCTGCGTTTCGCCTGCAATACCCAGCTTTTCCGGCCTAGTTTCAGCTTGAGGACAAGCTGAATTTGAAGGGAGAGGATTTGTAACATCCTGTGCCAGCTGGATGGTGACGTGGAGCAGGGATGAAGATATAAATAGCCGAAGAAGGGAGTTCATTGGATAGTTTTTTGACCAATCATCTCTACTGTAACAACTTTACCAAATTAGTTAGTTAGATAAACAATCCAGACTCTTCTTCTTCCGCTGTAAACTCTCTTCTCTTCCAAAATCTCAATAAACTCGCCAGACTCTCTTGCTCGATCCTTACAATTGGATACACTCTGGTGTTGATCCGGTCCGGTCTTGACCCGATCCGGTCCCAATTTGATTTTGATTTTAGATTGAGCTTTATGGGGATTTGAGTGTTGGGGTCTCTTATCCGGTCTTTATCCGGGTTTTTTTACCTCAAATCTAAGCCTGAATATGAGATTGAATTGTTTGCTATCCGGTCCCAGTCCGGTACCGGTTCGGGTTATACGGTCCGGTTTTGGATAAAACAAAACAGTCCTGTACCAAATTGCCAGCCCTACTTTTTATGGGCTTCACAAGAAGTGTAGTTAAAGGGAGGGACAAAATCATACAAAACCCAAAATCCAACATCCAAATGTGAATGACTCACAAGTAACCGCATAAGTATTATTGGTAGTTCAAAGAGAGGAACAAATAATTAAGTTACGTACAAATAGTGAAATTTTCAGTGAGAAAGAATGACATGAGAATTTCCCCTTTGTAAATTATAAATACATAGACATGATATAACAAAATAAACCTCCCAAATTTACCCAAACCCTTCCAAAACAATTCGATTTCAGAGGATCCAGTGGCATATTGATTGTTGTTGATACTTTGACAGTGATGGGTTTTTATTTCCCTTTCTCTCCTTTCTCTTCCACCATATTGAGCAATCCATTCTTTTTGCGTTCAAAATTTTCTTTTTAATTTGCCTCTGTTTCCTTTTGCGTTCTGAGGTGGCTGTCTGTCTGTCTATATGTTTCTCATGTTTTGAGGGTCAAACCCTAAGTTGATTGCATTTGCTGCCCAAGAAGAAAATCCCAACGCGTACACACAGCAGCCCCGCCCCTGTTTTTTTTCCTCTTTTTAAAATTGCCCAAGCACCAAAACATTAAAAGACATAAAACATTAAAAAAAAACGACCACACAATTAGAATCTAAACCTTGTTTGCGATCCCATTCTTATTAGCTTAGTGCAAAGGAAAAGGCCAGCAAATTGACCAGCAAAAGTAACTTGAAGGCCATTTGCCATTTTGGAGAAGAAGAGAGTTGTGGGGTGAATCTATATCTACAGAATAAACAAAAGTCAAATGAGAAAACTTGAAGCCCCATTTTAAATTTCCTGCATTCAGAGTGAAAGTAGGAAGGACATTTTGATCTTCACAATTACTTTTTTTATTCATTAAAAAAACACTTACTAGGATTCGAACCATGTTCACTTTAAAGAAAAGCAAATATCATAACCAATATTACTAAGTACATTTGTTGTATCTTTTTAAATTAAAAACAAATAATCGCAGAAAGGAAAAAACTTTTTCCCCATTTCAAATTCCCTGCTCCATAAACGTTTGTAGGAAGGGTAGAATAGCGAGTGTCAATTTTTTTTTCCTCTGTGGAACGGGCCAACTTACCGTACACATGCAGATTTAAACGAATTCAAGAGTGTCAATTTTTTCTTTTAAGTCCTTTTATTTCTCTGTAGTAGTAAAATATATATGAAAAGGAAAAAACAGTACTCTTTTTTATTGGTAAATAGAAAAAAAAAATTTAACAATAAACTAATGCATGGATTCTAATGGGCTAACCGCTAATCATAAAATAAAAGAGTTGAATGAGCCTGACCTACACGGGATTTGCCCATCAAGTAAAACAATGAACATCATGGGTTTGCCATTCTAAAACACGTTATTTTCTCTAGCATAATATATATTATGCTATTATTTTATATCTTAGTGACTAAAATATAATGTATTTTAAAGTTATTTAATGGTTCAACCTCGATCAACCCAATTAGTCCAATTTTTATCATTTCAAATATATATTATGTAATTATTTGATATCATAATGATTAAATTATAGTGTATGTTATAGGGAATCGTTTGGTATTTGTTAGTAAAAAACTAATCTATTTGGTTATTTTTAACATTAAAACGATCCTAAACATTTTTTAGTTTCTTTTCGAAATTCTATAGTTTTATTCCCGAATCAGTGATGTGCAAATGGCGAATTTCATTCATCTCTTTTCTTTCAGTATTTTTTATTTTCAAATAGAAATTTTAAAAGTAAAGAATAATTAGAGTTTGGCATGGGTCGGTCAAACAGGCTGAATTTCAAATTTTGTCCCGTTTTGATCAAGTCTAATTTATAATCACATGGTTCCCTAATACCCGATAAAAATCTCAATCCAAACCAGTTTGGCTGGTGAGTCCGTGTTTACCACCATTTTCTAGGGATACAAGAACGGTGGTTCTTATCCCAAATCGTGTTGTTCATTCTTGGTTTCTTTAGATTTTATCATGGCTTGGCAAAAAACCAGAAAACACAATAATGACAAGATGAAACTTTTATAAAGCAAATTAATCGGCCAACCGGCCGAGTAAAAACTAGCAACGATTGTGAGATGCTCATTTCTAGAAAACCGGCGGGATAGGCAATACATTATCAAATTTCATACCTCATCTTCCTCCGACCAAATGGCCGGGGCCACGCTAGTTCGTTTAGAGTTATGAGTTTCAAAACTAATTCACACATCGATAGTTAGAACAAACCAATAGATGTTGGACTTATTCTTTACGACAACGTTAAGTGGGCACTATACATGCAAAAAGTTACTATTATTGTTTCTCATAAACGGTCGAATCATATTGTAGATCGTAATAAACATCGGTGGAGATACTTTGATACTAATTTATGCGACCTCTGATTGGTTATGGAAATTTAAGGGTTGTCATAGCCTTGCAATGTATTTCTCAATCGACATACGAAACCAAAAATAATATACCTTACTAATTGAAATGTCATAGTTTTTTTTTATACTCAAAGTATGTACAAAATACAAACATATCATGAATGAATTTTAAGCACAATAGTAACATATATAGCATGCATCATTACCAAATTATGGGATATGTTTCTACACATACATGATAGTATTGATGTGTCTGTTATTAGCTATGTGAATTATGATTATGCTGGAGATGTAAACGATAGTCGGTTTGTTGTCGACGGGTGTTATGGTTTAACAAAAACACCTGGTGGTCCAATAAGTTAGAGTGCACCACTGCAAAAATTTAGTAGCCACATCCACCTGATAAAATAAAAGCACAATACATATGGCTATAAGTGAAACAACGAAGCTAACTAGTCTCACAAATGAGTAGGGGTGGCTATACGGTCCGGTCCGGTTAAATTGGCCCAAATTGATCCAGTCAAGTCCGGTCTTTTCAAAAATATAAGGACCAAAGATTGGATTGGATACAGTCCGGTTTTGATTCGGTCCGGTCTTTACCCGGTCCGGTCCCAATTCGGTCTTGATTTTATATTGAGCTTGTGGGGATTTGAGTGGCCTAATTAGGCCTGAAAGGGTAAGGAGTTGGTTAAGTTTTGTACTAAGTGCAAAAGTTTGTGACCGTTTATGCTAATTACCCTTAAATTTTGGTGTTGAGCTCTCTTATCCGGTCTTTATCCAGTTTTTTATCCGGTCTCAAACGCTTTTTTACCTCAAATCTAAACCTAAAGATTGGATTGGATTGTTTACTATCCGGTCTTGGTCCGATCTCGGTCCGAGTTATACGTTCCAGTTTCGGGTAAAACCAAATAACCCGGACCAAATAGTCAGCCCTACAAATGAGGGTTTGAAGTTTGAACAACATCCTCCTGGGGTATACAGTTAATAAACATGGAGAAGGGAATCAAAATCTTGGATCTGATTGAGGGAGAGAGAGAGAGAGAGGGAATTTCAATTTCCATGGAGTTGTTGGATGAAATAATGGTGTCTGTGGAGAAAATATGCACAAAAGCTTGATGGATATATCGAGGGGGAACCACACAGTAGCAGTATGCTTTCATGGTAATTGGTTCCCGACAATGAATTGAGAGATCTTTGGACCTTCGATCTCACAACTTATCTGTGACACGACCCTTCCATGTTATCAGTTTACCGGTTTTGCCAACATAATCATAACAAGGTATATCTTATTCCACTGTTAAATTATATTTCATCTCTCACTTCCCCGGGGAATTTTGGGCTCGATCTGCTTGTAGAATCTGTATGCTTTTTACGTCGAGTCATGATGTCGTTTTAATGGATCAATAGAGAAACGAGTAGTTGTCTTATTTTACAAAATGTGTCAATTAAAATTACTTGTACCTCAACGAGCACATTGAATCAGAAACCATGGACATATAGATGTACAACTATACATATTCTTATCTTGCACAATTGGGCATCAACTCAAAATAGAAAGTGAAGACAGGCATGGAAAAAAAAAGAGCTTCTCTGTATTTTTTTTTTTCAATTTGTTATACCTTTTAGTACATTTCTGACTTGTAATTACTTATCGAATCGGAAACAAAAGAAAGAGAAGATCGGCAAAAGAAAAAAAATTCACATATTCTCATTTCAAATTTCAACATGATTCGGTATGATTCTAAGCTAAAATAATAGGACAAGACCAACATGAGAAAAAAAGTTTTCCCCTACGCGACCTCTTTTCAATCATCTACACAATTTAATACACTCCTGACATACAACCAGACGTCGAATCATAAAATAAAAAGATCATAAGAGCAACATCTAAAGAAAATCTCTCTCTGTTTTCTTTTCCATTTGTATATATGCCCATTTTAAAACTATATTTTTTTTTCTAACTTAACATAGGACATCAAATTGGAAAGAGAGCTTCAACTTAAATCCTCCCATCCTCGTCATATGGTTACCAAAACGAGCTACCATGCCTCCTTGGAGTGGGTTGGAGTTTCCATTAACAACCATGGAAGCCACACCTCGACCAACATCAGGAATATTAATTGTACGATTAACCCCAAAACCCTAGTTTTATATATACATTTAGACTCTTCTAGCTAGCTCAAAGCCTAATGGGTACATGCATCAAAAAGCCTAACTTTGCGTGGGAAAGGAAAGGAAGTGATCCTCCACTTACAATACTTACTACGCTGGACAGGCAAGACGCAACTTACACAAATTTGAGATTCGCCTACGGATGCACCCTTTTGTTTTGTCGGCTATGCCCTATATTTTTTTTTCTTACCCTATAGCCCTCCCTCTATATGGTCACTTCACTCTCTCTCTCTCTTTCTCTCTCTAGATTACTATAATAATCCATCAACTAAGTGAGGTCAGCAAGCACTAAACCCTAAACCACCTCCCCATGTGGGTCGACACAACAAACAACAAAACGGCCTCTATTATCCTATATAAAATAGGATTAAGGGCCTAAAAGTCCTACAAAAAGTTGGTTCTAGGACTCATGTTGCGACCGTAATACTGCCCGATGAGGGAATTATAGGCTTCCACGTTTGGTATAATGGTGTGGCTTAAGGGCGGGCTGGCTGGCTGGCGCTTCCCACGTTGTTTCGGTTAAGGAGATGGCCGATCGAGACGCGGTGGAGAAAAGGCTTAACTCGATCGATCGAGAGCATCTTCGACGAGCTTTCACTACTGTTTGGTAAAGCACGCAAGCTGGCTGTGTAGTTATAGACCGGCCGGCTGGCGGGTCGATCGCAATCGCGTGCATGAACTTGGCACACGCGCATTCTATATTCGTTTATAATAAGTGCTTGGCTTGGCTAGGATTTGAGTTTGTTATTTTATATTGCCGTACCGAATGTACAAGCGATCCAGCAAGTTGGCAACTAGCTAGGGTTTCAGTTCATGTATAGCTGGCTCTGTTTACTTGGTGGGTGATGGGCATGATTGAGGATGTATGTTGGTGGGGAGATTCAAACGGCCAAGTCCGACTGTGAACAACTTGGATACATCCATGGGATTTTGTGTAGGTGACGATTTACGCTACCTAATTAATGACAACTACTTGGTGAGTTCTCTTGTGGAGAGACACGCTTAGTGTTGTTGATTGTTGGCAAGGCAATCGTGGAGCTGAGTTATTGGATTTGTCTGATTTTTTGACATGATATCAAAGCATGGGTTTGAGAGCTCGAATTCGAGAGTACTGTAAGTGTGGATCCTCATTGTGTGACCTCGCAATTAGACATATGCATCTTGGCGCGGATCTAACGGAAATCTGCATATGGGTTCTTGAGTTGAAAAGTCTAATGATGTAAGATGTTTGAGAGATCGTCAAATGGAGATCAACATATGATTCCGTTGCATCGAGAATTTTGGCCACGCAAGATGTTGTGTGGATTGATTATCCTTGGAGAGGGAGATCATTGCATTCGTAGTCCTTGACTTGAGAGAACGATTGTTGCGGTATAATTCAAGTATGTAAAGTTCTATTGTATATATAAAAATGTTAAGCCAACAATTGAAGTGTCTATTTGGCAATGGATGTCATTGGATAAGGCAAGTTGGTGATGCCGGTCAGTGATTCAAAACCAGTTGGAGTGGAGCCCAATAATAAGAAAAACTTGGTCTTCCCTGCTAGTTTGACCTTCCTTCACCCATCACAAGAAATGTTGCTTAGCTTCTCGGGATGTCTCATAACCGTAGGCAACTTGCACCATAAATCGCAAGACATGGGGCGCATTGCAACGTGTAGAATTGTATCCTTAAACCCAATTGTTTGGTATTTTTTTGACCAATAATGTATTATGGATTATTTATGGCCAGCAATCACAAACATAACAGAAATCAACATACATGTCTAGATTGGTTGTTGTTTGATAGGACGACTTATATCCACACACGATGATCTCCTGTACGTCATCAGAAGATGGGCAAGTTCTTCTGTCTATCTAAAAACAGAAATCACGTAGCTACTATCTAAAACTAAAGGGATCGGAGTGAAAAATTTTAAACCGATCCACGAGCCTCGAATGCAACACGTTGAGATTCTATATGTTCTTGAAATAGGGCTCGGATCCACTGTGTTGAGATTGTATGATGTTGGGACCAAACACTTTACCCCTTAGTATGATATTAACTCCTTCGAACCAAACTCGCACAAAATTACTTTTAAATATTTTTTTTTCGAAAACCCGCTTACTGATAGCCAATAGAACTATGAACGCTTATATACAACGAATTGTTTCCTTAATTAGATCTCTTTGTGATGCTTGGATTATATTGTACCCAACATATGACATTGTCATGAGACCGGGACGATTTCATACTGTCATCAAATTCTTTTATTCCCGTTGCCTTGCAATGTGGTGTACTAATTAATCCAAATCAATTAGCACGTAATTAGCATATAAACGTACTTATTATATATTAACGCCCTCAATAAACTATGATTTCGTACAAATATCTTTGTAATAATTGATTGAAAACATGTGGTCCTCCTCATGTATAAGGACAACATACAAACGTAGATAAATACGTTAGCCTTTGGTAGCCTCCAAACGAGCATGCTTTTTAAGGGTTAACCCTTTTTCCCTTGTATGGAAAAGCCATCACGGTAATCATCCAATGGCGGCCTTGGCTTTACTAATTAATTGTATTTTAGTCGTTAATTGAGTTCCAAAGTTGGAGCATAATGCTAGCTAATCAACATTTAACTAATTTCGAACATAAGTGTCTAATTTTTAATATATAGCTCCTTTCTGTTTTACCAAAACGACGAAACTTCATATATATAATAACGAGTGAAAACCAGTAAAGATGGCATTATAAGTTTTGTGTTGTCCAATATGCATGTTCCCTTTTCAGTTTGGATTTATCCATTCGCCAATGACCAAACGAATTAGTAGAGGTGACATTGATGTCAATATGGTTGCATCAGAAACCATCTACATTTGTTCCCTTCACACTTATGCAAAAGGAAAATATTTGTTTAGATGCCTAACCTTCCCAATATAAGGCGAATTTGTATAATAAATGTTAAAGATACAAGTTTAGTTTTGATTATTAAAAAATTTGTGTTAAAAAATACAATTATAAGTTCAATTTGTATCATAACATTAGTTTGTACCATAAAAGATTTTGTACGAAATTATATGGTATAAATTGAATTTGTACCTTAAGTTAATGAACATTTTCAGTTTGTACCATAAACAAATTTGTACAAAAAGATATAGGTACAAGCTAAATTAGTGCCATGACATTAAAGTTAAATTCAAATTGTATCATAATTTTTTTTAGAAGAAATTACTGATATATAGTAATAAGCATTGTAAAATCTCTCATTTTTTTAATATGAGATGTGTTGGTTCATTATGATTTTTTTGTGCATATTAAACTTTATTATTATTTTCAAAATATTCAATCAAATATTTAAATTGTAACAAACAGACTATTTACAATTCATTTATTAGCTAGGGTTTACAAATCAATTATCCACGTGAACAAGGGTTTAGTCTAGTGGTAATATAACTGGTTTTAAATCTGGAGGTTCCAGATTCGAATCCCTTAAGTAGCACGTCGACTATGTTTAGTAGTAATATTACTGGTTTTTAAATCTGGAGATCTCAAATTCAAATCCCTTAAATAGCACCTACTGTGTCAATCTCTTAGGGTTATCAAAACCATGGAAGCAGGTAACTTGAATTTGTTGCTTGTCTATGACTATCTATAAACTCTTCTCTCAAATATATAGTAGGTTACTAGGTTATCAAAACTAAACCAACATTTCTAAATATTGGACAATGAATTTAAAAAATCATAACAAAACCTATGTTTACTAAAAATTTGTTAGAATTAAAAAATAATTATATTTTAATTATTTATAAAAAATAATATTTTGTATGCACTAGAAAATCAAAATATATTGTATAATGGATAAGTAATGAAGAACCATTCGTTCATTTTTTTAGCCAACGTCATGTTAGTTTTTGGTCTCAAGTAAAGCTTAAAGTTAGCTTTTTTTCACTAATTGATATATTATTTTTCCTTTCTCCTTTCCCCACATCTTCACAATCTCCCCCCTTCTCCCCATGTAATGGTTATTTTATTCAAAGACTTTCCTTTAACAAAGACAAGACGATCCAGTTAATGGCTGAGCTAAGCCAACTTTTTTGACCACCAAAGTGTGCCCACCATGAGCTTTCCCCAGCCCATTTTACTTAGTTTGCCATCCCTAATTATCAATCAATTCGTTAATCAATGAATTAAACACCCTTTTGGTTCTCGCGAATCAACACAAACTCATAAAAGGGACAAGATTAGGCTAGGTGAATTGGGGGTAAGCGTGTCGAGCAACCACTGGCCCATTTGTGGCTAATTAGCTCTTATACTAATTGTAATTGTTAACATCTAATTACCCCATCATCGTCATATTAAGAAGGGTGTTGTTCTTTTTTTTATAATGAGACTGATGCATTAAATAAGACCATAAACAAAGAGTTCAATACAGACGGATCACGAGGCAAGATCCGACAAGTAAACAAAACAAAAAACTAGCTAAGAAGTAGCATGTTGTAAACATCACAATCGAAAATGACATGGACACTAGCTAACAAGTAGTACATATACATGTATAAAAATGAGTTCATTCTCAACTGGCCTGCACCTTTGTTTGTTATTGTTACTGGAATGTGATAAACTAGTTTGTCCAATAATATGAGTTATTGAGATATGTTGGTTTATGATATGGTATTAGAGTTGGTTTGTGTTTAGCGTTACGTGTTCAAGTCTCGCGATTATTAATATTAATCGTTATTTTAAACACGGTAGGTCGGGTCTGTGCAAACTTCAAACCTATGAGTTAGTTTTCGTTTGAAGGAAGTATATAAAGTGGTAAAGATTCATACATGGACATTGTTAGTGTTGTGGTATATGATCCACGATTGAACCTCTCCCAACTGGTTCTTTACATGATATCAGAGTCTGGTTAAGAAAACCCTAGTAGAGAAAACCCTAAACACCTTTTCTTCTTCGGCCGCCCTCCGCCATGAGTGCTCATTCTCCCGGTTAACCCCTAGCAGCCTTTGTCATTACCCTGCCCTCATTATTACCCTACTATTTGTTCCGTTTGCTGCCCCAAGATTCACATGTCCACTATTTGAAAGCTCCAGGTCATCCGTCCTCCACGTTCACGAGCAGGAAGGTCATCCACTTCAATTGTCCTTCAGGAAATCCAGAATCTTACTTTCGTTCTGTTTAACGGTGTTGTTCGGAACACCTTGGTTTAAGATGTTGTTTGGAACATCTTTGGTTGATAAATGTTGTCCGGAGCATTTTTGTTTGTATTCCGTTTCGATGATGCTATATGGAGCATCCTGATCACCATGTTTTTGTTCGAAACACGTGGTTTTGTTTCTGTTTCGATGATGCTATTCGGAGCATCTTAATAGCCGTGTTACTATTTGGAGTATACATGGTTTTCGGTTTGGTTTTCATGTTTCGATGATGTTGTTCGGAGCATTTTTTGTTTGTTTTCATGATAGTCAGTTTCTGGAGCTTCTTTGGAGGACAAGTATTTGGAATGACAAGGCAGTTTTGGCAAGAGATCTCGTTTCATCCAGTCATCACCATCAACGTTTTCGTGGGCCGTGGTCTTCTTCAACATCGGCACGAAGTTTGGGATTAGTAGCAGTTATCGGTTTCTTAGTTATAGTTATTTTTCTTCTTCATTTTGTGTTAGTTTATGTTTCGGTTTTCAAATTGTTGGTAAGTAATTACTATCAATTTGGGGAGGGTATTAGAGTATGTGTAGTACGAGTAGTATTGTGTTATACTACGAGTACTAGTATGTAATTGGGTAGATTTATATTCCTTATTAGAGTCGTAGAAGTTAGGTTATTTCCATATTAGTGTTAGGGTTATTATAGAAGTCAATCTTTGTACTCTATATAAACCCTATGTGAGTTTCCAGCGTATTCTGATTTACCAACATGGTATCAGAGCATTGGGAGGCCATGGTACCACTACCAAGTTGAGGAGGACAGTAGGGTCATCTGGTCATTAGGGTTCTTAGAATTCGTTGGTGGATTTGTGCCTTTCTAATCGAGGAGCTTTAAATTAATGGGGAGCTGAAGCAAGAGAGATAGGGATTCCCAAAGATCAACTTTCTAGCCTAATATATATTATGCTATTATTTTATATCTTAATGGCTAAAATATAATGTATTTTAAAGTTATTTATTGGTTCAACCTCGACCAACCCAATTAGTCCAATTTTTATCATTTCAAATATATATTATGTAATTATTTGATATCATAATGATTAAATTATAGTGTATATTATAAGGAATCGTTTGGTATTTGTTAGTAAAAAACTAAACAGAAAGATCTATTTGGTTATTTTTAACATTAAAACGATCCTAAACATTTTCAGTTTCCTTTCGAACTTTTATAGTTTTATTCCCGAATCAGTGATGTGCAAATGGCAAATTGCAGTCATCTCTTTTCTTTCATTATTTTTTATTTTCAAATAGAAAGTTTAAAAGTAAAGAATAATTAAGAGTTTGGCATGGGTCGGTCAAACAGGCTGAATTTCAAGTTTTGACTCGTTTTGATCAAGTCTAATTTATAATCACATGGTTCCCTGATACCCGATAAAAATCTCAATCCAAACCAGTTTGGCAGGTGAGTCCGTGTTTACCACCATTTTCTAGGGATACAGGAACGGTGGTTCCTATCCCAAATCGTGTTGTTCATTCTTGATTTCTTTAGATTTTATCATGGCTTGGCAAAAAACCAGAAAGCACAATGATGACAAGATGAAAGTTTTATAAAGCAAATTAATCGGCCAACGGGCCGAGTAAAAGCTAGCAACGATTGTGAGATATGCTCATTTCCCGAAAACCGGCGGGATAGACGGTTTTTTATTCGATTTTCTTGGATTCGGTTTCTATAAAACTTACTCACCTCATCATATTACCAGAAACAATATTGTTTCGCAAGGTAACAGGTACTTGATTTTGGTTCATAAGGCTGATTTTTGATTCATTGCATCATTCATGTATCTTTCCTACTAAAATTCATTATTTTTATCACGTGTTTTCCAAAAAAAACTATACAACAATAAGCTATACACCCATTAAATTATCAAATTTCATACCTCACTTCCCTCCGACCAAATAGTTGGGGGCTGACTAATAATCCAAGAAGTGGCTTACTTTGTTCAACCCATATCCAAAAATAAGAAGACCAACAGTTTGGGCCGATAACAGCGTAACGGAGCCCAAAACACTTTATCAACTAAAAAATAATCATTGATAATGACGCCACATGAAAGCTTGATTAATAGTTAACAACGGCGATCTGGCTCGTTTGCGTGGAGATTTAGGAGATTAAACCGGGAAAAGGTGATTTGGTTAGTGCATAATCCATAAAAAAAAATAGAAATATCTCCAAAACTCTTCGGAATTCTGATCTCTGTTCCGTTATGTGGGCCCATCAGTTTTATCTATTACAAAACGGGTACCCGACAGACACCATGCTCCGTTAGTTACAAAATATACAATCATGAAATTTATCGCAACATCATATATGTCTTTGCGGGAAGAAGTTCACTACAAAAGGGCTAAGTACTAATTAGTCGTGTAATTTATAGGTTTCACTGATTTTGGTCTCCAAAATGTACTTCCTCGCCATTTCACCCATTTTCCTTCATTTGATAACATGTAATCCATGTCGTGATAAGATGGCCAAAACGAGCCTCACGACTTATAGTAAATTATAAGGCAATGTTACTTTTCGTGATCAACTGACTTTTCACCTTATGCAATACAAGTTTAGGGAAATTACTGCTTTCATGTTAAGTGTATTATTGAATGGTGGCCTGTGGCCATTCTCTTGCTAGAAAAGAGTTTTTGTGCGGTGTTTATTGCAATGAAAGCCCTCTAGTATTACTTATAGGATAATATTACTATCCGCGATAAACTAACTTTTTATCTCGTAAAATGCAAGTTTAGATCACTTAAGATTTTTCGCTTCTCTACTGATTTCACAATAAAATGTTTCGATGAACTGATAAATACTTGGATGAGTATGAAGTATTGAAGTTCCCTAATTTCATGCTCTTTAGCAGCATGTACCTTTGCTAGAACAGAAAGGACTAAAATGTTAAAAGAACTATTTTACGGGCAAAATTGTTAACGAGGTTGGTAATGTAATATGGACAAACTGTAGTACTTAACTATAAGACAAAGCACACTAAATATTTAATTAATTATATAAAATTATAAATAGAATTTTCATGAAAACATAGAAGGAGAAATTGGACATAGAGAACGGGGAAGGGGCGCCGGAGGAGGTGAGCAGCGGCGGAGGGAAAAGAGAAGGCGGCGGAGGTGGCGGTTGAGAGAGAGAGAAAAGGTGGGAAATGCGAGAGGAAGGCGCGACCATTTCAAAGCGAAGTTATCGGCGAATCGAGCCCAATCAGTAATCGTTCGACAGAGAATAGAGAGAGAAAGAGAAAGCGACGACGATGACGATGGGGATGATCCCTCAGAGCATTGTCGGTATCCTTCTCCTTATGCTGCTCCTCGTCCTCCTTCTCATCCTCATCGCCTGTAAGCCATGGCGCCTCTGCCTCTCTTCTTCCTCCCGTTCTCGTTCTTCTTCTCTTAAGGTACCTAAACCATATCATTTTCACCTTCCTTCCTATCGCTAATTAGGTTTCTGTTCCTGTAAGCATTTCATCTCCCCTAATGTGATCGCTTGTTGCTTGCGGGTGATCGACTGCGGTTTCCTTTCGCCTACCGGAGCTGATAGTTCGGCCGTTTGTTGCATTTCTACTTTCTATTGTCAAACACGAACACCGAGCTGCGGCGATCGCCTCTTCTTTCTCTATTCAATTCGTGCATCGAATTTAAATTTTATCTCCGCCGGTGGGGATTTGATACTTCGCGTGGTTGAGACGAGGGAAGCGAAGTAATGCCAGAGGATTTCGTCTAGCTGTTAGCTGTGGAAGTGAATGATTTTGATAAGACTGGTGATCGGATTGATAGTTGATGAATTAGCTTTACCAGTATGTGATTGATTGCTGCCAGCATCTGGTTAGTTGATTGGGAGATCAAAGTATGGATTTCATACCCTCTGTTACTATTTGCATTAGGGATTTATTAGCTTCCATTTCTTGTTTAAGGGAGAGAGATAGGTGTGTTTTGAAATGCATTTGTCAAATCACCGGGATTTGATGCTCTGTTCCTCTGCATCAAGCTTGCATTATGGAACCAATGTCACAAGCGGCAGGAAAGTAGTTTCAAAACTTCATAGCAATTATCAGATTTTCAAGTCTTGGTGTACCAGTTCACGGACTGGTAGTTAGATTTTTCTCAACCTGTTCGTTTGAGCAATGCCAGTACATTGGTCACGCAATAACTCAAGTTTCCCATTTTTTGTTTATACAACTTCTCTTTATCGATGATGAGGCCGAACATGTTTCCCATATTTAATCACAAAGTGAAAGTTTCTTTTGGCCATGCTCCGTTTGTGCTTGATCATTGATGTTCTAACCTTTGAGTTGATTCTTGTTAGATTGGGGGGGAGCTAGAGAGGCCTCTTGTTTCGGATGATGTGGATGCACATGATGACAACAATGAAGGTGGAAGAACCTATGATATTGAGGGAGCTTGTTATCAAAATGATGGGCTTTTGCGTGCACCCCGCATGGAGGGGCTTGTCCATAAACCAAGGCTTCCTCCTGTATCTCCTCATGTGACTCCCCAAGGTTTTTTTACCACCATGTTCCTTCATTCTGTCTGTGCTACTTTTGAAGAAGCTAGGGTTAATCTTTTTCAACATTGCTGAAATGCTGATATTTGGTTTTGTTTTTTTTTCATATTAGTTGATAGCTTGATCTTAGAGGTAGTTCCAGATCCCGTGGAGGATGTTTCTGTTGGGCAAACACTTAAGTACTCTCCACTGGCTGGACGCTTACCTGACGTACAGAAACATTTTAGACCGGAAAATCAAATTCCTAATGTAAAGCCTGGTTCACAAAGCAGCAGGCTACCAGAATCCACAGCCAAGGTTATTGATCATCAGGGTAATTTCTTCGGCTTTCTCCTGCCACAAATCTATTTACTCGTGTTTGCAGCAATCTTGTGCATTTTCATCTATGTAACGTGATTTTCAGCTAATCTACATTATTTTATCCCAATGTGAAAAACAAGTTGTAATACTTTTCGGTTAGCATTGCAGGAAGCTGCCTCTCCCTTGAGGTTATTTCTGGTCCTTCTAGTGGACAACGCTGCTCTGTACAATCAACGAATGCTTCACGGGTTTCTGTGACCCTTGGAAGAGTTTCTAGTGACTTATTGCTCAAGGACTCTGAGGTTTCGGGGAAACATGCTATGATCAACTGGAATGCCGATGTAACTTTCTGATACCTCCACAACCATAACTTGACTGTGCTATCTATAATTTTCCTAGAGGCACTTACTATATTATTCTTGATCCTGATGGCAGAAGAAGAAATGGGAGGTTGTTGACATGGGTAGCCTCAATGGAACACTGTTAAACTCCAGGCCAATCAATCACCACGATCCTGGAAGTAGGCAGTGGGGTAGGCCTGTTGAGCTTTCAAGTGGAGACATAATAACTCTTGGCACAACATCAAATGTACAGGTAAGCTTATCTCCTCCGTGATATGCAGCTTGTTGTGTCATGTATGACACTGTTGGTTGAGCAATTAACTGGCTTGCCCTAGAAGATTCCAGATTCATGCTTGGTTGAATCGTGATTTCTTCAATCCCATACGACTTAGGAATGACCTGGGGGTTCTGTTTATGTCTGAAATACATCTGTTGTCACATTGCCTAAAGATTGTGAATAAACTCATGGTTAATTATCCTGGTTGATGTACATATAGTGATGTTGCTGACATACTATCACTAATAGGTTGTATACATGCTGTTATCTTATTATTAGTCATCAACTTTGGGGCTTTCTAGACCCATGTTGCTGCAGGTGAAAAGTTTCTTGCTCCATTATTTATTAACTGAAACCTGCAAGCTTCTGTATCTAGTGCCTATTTTAGTGATGACAATATGAACCTGAATTGTAATTTGTGTACCGTTGCTCCCTGATTTTGATGCATTCCTTGTGGGTTTTCCTTCGTGCAGGTCAATGTAACAACCAAGTCTGAAACCAGGATACCCTTTGGCATAGGCATGGCTTCAGATCCCATGGCTTTGCGCCGTGGAGGAAAGAAGCTACCTATGGAAGACGTGTGCTATTATTCCTGGCCCCTCCCGGACATTCAGGAGGTTCTTTATTTCCTGAAATGTTATTTCGGTTGATGTTCTAGTGCTTTAGCCTGAAAATGCTAAATGCTGCAAATCTAAATCTTGCAGTTTGGTGTTTTTGGGATTTGTGATGGGCATGGTGGAGCAGCTGCTGCAAAATCTGCCAGCAAGTTAGTATTGTGGATTAAAACTATCTCAATCTCATATATCTTAAAAGACCCCTCAGAGCAAGGTGCCCGCCTATTTGGCGTGCCTTGCCTTTCCATGGCAAGCACCTAGTTGCTCCGTTGGCCATATGCTACAGAAGCAAACCTCTCCTCTAGGGTGGCTGAGGTGTCATCTTTAACGGGACGATCTTATTGCTCTTGTATATTTCCATAATTAGTCATCTTTTACCTTTTGTGCAGGATGTTGCCGGAGAAACTTGCCAGTATTTTATCGGATCCTGCAATGAGGGAGAAAGTGATATCACAAGCCAACGCTGCAGATGTTCTTAAAAGTGCATTTTCCCAAACAGAGGCTTCCCTGACTAACTATTACGAGGTCTTCCCTCATCTTAATCTTGTCTACTTTATTATTACTTTTCTACAAGGAATGTGATGCAAGCTTTGGGACTTTGTAACCACTCTTCAGTTGTTTGCTTATCAAATCTTCAGTCTATCTTCCTGAAAAATCTCTGCTTGACCATGCACCCGCACTCTGTGTGCGTAGCAGCTCTGCTTATGAAGTATTGTTATTTTGAAGAACTTGGATAAACAATTAAGATACTGCGCTGTTCTCTTACACATTCAGCCATTGTTGGTATCAATGTGATAAATAATTCAATGGTTCATATCTTTCTAAAAAAAATTCTTTGTTCCCTTTCTTTATATTCTCTTGACCCCTTCTTCTTCAATGGCGTTTGAAATAGTAACTGGCAGCATTGATGTCTGTTCAGGGTTGTACAGCGACGGTGCTTCTGGTTTGGACTGATGGTGGCAAACGTTTCTTTGCTCAATGTGCAAATCTTGGGGATTCTGCCTGTGTTGTAAAGTACGCTGCTATTTTTTTGGCAAAAATAACAACAAAAAAATCTTTTATCCTTATTACGATATTCACAGTTGCAGTGTACGATTTTCAGTGTCGATGGGGAGCCAATCAAGATGACAGAAGACCATAGAGTGTCTAGTCACTCTGAGAGAATTCGAATGAATGGAATAGGAGAGAGGCCTTTAAGAGATGGTGAAACACGTCTTTGTGGTTAGTAGATTGTCCACTGCGTTATATGTTCCATTCCTTCATAGTAAATTTCAAATCGTTGCCTTACTCTTTTTATCAAACTGGTACCCAGGTTTGAATCTTGCTCGAATGCTGGGAGACAAGTTTCTGAAACAGCAAGATGCTCGCTTCAGTTCTGAGCCTTACATAAGTGAAGTTGTGCACATAGATCAGTCAAGCTCAAGCGGCTGCTTTGCACTTTTAGCCAGGTGAGTTTTTAGTTTGCCACTGGTCTTGTTCCTTCAAGAACAAACGATATAACATACAGAAAACATTTACTTCATCATTTGAGTTCACTCAATTAAGCGTTTTTCCAATCATGTGAAAATTTTCGCAGCGACGGGTTTTGGGATGTTGTCAGTGTTAAAAAGGCTGTCCAGCTTGTCCAGCAGGCGAATGAGAAGGAGCATGCAGAAGGGGAGAATCCAGCGGAGAAGACTGCCAATGCGCTGTTGAACGAAGCTAGAGCACTGCGTACAAAGGATAACACCTCCGTACTTTTCTTGGATTTTGATACCAAATTTAGGTCGTCGCCTTGTAAAGTTACAGCCGCGTAATACCAACAACCGGTCTGTTTAGCGTAGTAGAACAATGTTTCAATTTTCTTGTTTTGAGGTGTCTATAACAGAAGTAAGATGATACCATGATGCTGAAAACACAGTGGCCGCCTGTATCAGCAACTTTGTGGAGCTGAAGTTCGAAGATGCGGAAAAGTTACCGCAACGTTGCTTGGTTGTCAAGGCAGTGCTACCTACCAGAAATGGATATTTGAAGCAAAATTGATTTGGCCTGATGTGACGGGGGGGTTACAAGTCTTGGTGGAATAAGAAAGGTTTGTTTTAGAAATGTAGCAATAGGAAGGTCAATAGAAATGTGGCAATAGAGTTATTATAGCTTTCTTGAAACTAGGTCGAACTCTCTTTACCAAGAAAATGACATTGGAATCCCTTTTACCTTTCTTTGACATCTACTACAGTTATATGCATCGTCGCATCGTCAGTCATTTCGTTAATCTTTGTTTTGGTTCGAACTTTGATTGTGTTCTTTGTTCTTTATGCTTTGAATAACGCCGCCTTGCTAATTTGATTCGGTTTTGAGCATATGAATTGTCTAAAATTTTGAATAACCTAATTCGACTAAATCTCTACTAACCATAATAATAATTATCCTACTAATAAATAATAGGAGAAACCCCAAAAGGAGGGTTTCTAATGATCCACCCCTCTTGAAAGCAACCTTGTCCTCAAGGTTGCACTTGACTTCCACCCCCTTGACCTTCCACTTTCTTCGTCTCCAATTACGCTCGATCCCTTAAATGTAGGGTGGGCAACCGGTTTGGTAAACCCGAACTAAATCCAAACTAAACTGAACCGAAACTGAAATATGTATATTTCGGAAACCTAGGTTATTTCAACCGAACCGAAATTCCGACCGAAAAACCGAATAACTATAATTGTAAGCTCCAAATTGTGGATTTTTTTTATGTTTGTACTTGTTTTGAGACTTAAATATTTGAATCATGTTATGGTTTTATAACTTATGTGTTGAAATGTTTGATTTTATCATTGATGATGCATATAATTGCATATTTATTGTTTACATTAGGAGTAAAAAATAATTTAAAAGAGAAAAGATACAAGTAGCCTCACAAATTTGGTTTTGTGTGAAATTCCGAACCTACCGAATTATAATTCTGTTTATACCAACCGAACCGAATTAGAATTCGGTTCGAATTTGGTTTGAGATTTGGTGGAATTCGGGGATCCGGTATACATAATTTCAATTCGGTCGAAACCGACGATCCGATGTGTACCCTTACTTGAATGAACTCTTCTCCCGCCACCTTGATGTCCATCGACTCTTTTCCCATTACAGGACACCTGCCATGTCTTCCATAGCCAAACAATCATTCCTCCTCTCTTTCGAAATTCACGAAATAAGAGTCGGAGAATTGTTATTCTTTGGCTCCATTATCTTTGACCACCTTGAAATATGCAATGGATTGGGGATTTTTCCAGAAATAGCACTGTTTAAAAAAAAATTCCTAAAATAGCACCTAAGTCCGAAAAATTCCAAAAATAGCACCCTTTTCCAAAAACCGCTCCCTACTAGTGCGGTTTAGGCGAAAACCGCCATCCAGGGGCGCGTTTTTCGACCAAAACCGCACCCCCAGGGGGCGGTTTTGCAGACCGCACCCCCACCATGCGATTTGGTTGCAGATCGCACCCCCAAGGTGCGATTTGGTTGGGGGTGCGATCTGCTTTTTTTTTTTTTTTTGAAAAATCCTAACCTAGGTGGAAACTTCAAACGGACATATCTTTGTGTTCGGGTATCCCATCGTCGCAAAAATTTTTTTGATTCTGCATAACTTTTTGAGATCTTGCAAGCCAAAGGTGGTTTGGTCCCGCCTTCATCCCAAAAAATGTCGTTTGCTACCCCGAACGAGCTTTTTCCGATTTCGTCAAACTTTGGACAACCATAACTTTGTGCTCCAAAATCCAAACAACATGAATTTTTTTTTTTTTATTTCGCATAACTTTTTAAGGACTACAACTTTTATCATAGACACAATTTCAAAATGTACGTGGATTGCTGAGAAGGGAAGGTAAGCTATTCCCAAAATCCTGTATATCCAAAAATAATTCCTGTTTTGAAAATTTATTCTAGTAAAAATTGTAGTCCTTAAAAAGTTATGCGAAATAAAAAAAAATTTAATGTTGTTTGGATTTTGGAGCACAAAGTTATGGTTGTCCAAAGTTTGACGAAATCGGAAAAAAGCTCGTTCGGGGTAGCAAACGACATTTTTTAGGACGAAGGCAGGATCAAACCACCTTCGGCTTGCAAGATCTCAAAAAGTTATGCGGAATCAAAAAAAAATTTGCGACGATCGGATACCCGAACACAAAGATACGTCCGTTTGAAGTTTCCACCTAGGTTAGGATTTTTCAAAAAAAAAAAAAAGCAGATCGCACCCCCAAATCGCACCCTGGGGGTGCGGTCTGCCAAACCGCCCCCTGGGGATGCGGTTTTCATCGAAAAACGCGCCCCTGGGTGGCGGTTTTCGCTTAAACCGCACTGGTAGGGAGCGGTTTTTCAGAAAAGGTGCTATTTTTGGAATTTTTCGGAGTTGGGTGCTATTTTTGGAATTTTTTTTTCAAAAAGTGTTATTTCTGGAAAAATCCCCAATGGATTGCCCCATTGATTCCGCCACCAGAATGGTAGCGAGGACCATCTACCTTCTCTTACTTGACCCACAGTTGGTTGGAAGAAAGAGTTATAGCCCAAACACAAGTCAAGTCTCTTTATGTTCTTTTTCTTAATTTTGTTTGGGGTTGGCTCCCTTGTAAGCCCACCAGCTAACTCAACAGAATTGACTTTCCAAGCTATTAAGCTCACACCAAACAAGAGAGATCTAACCAAAGGGCTTATTTGAAGCCCAACTCTTCCTTGAAGACTTGACCCACTTCTTTCTTGAAACCAACGAATCTCTTTCTAATTCGGCCCATTGCTAAGCTCTTGTTCAGCGTAGGGGTGGGTATTCGGTCGGCGGTTTCGACCGAACCAAAATTATGAATACTGGGTCACCGAATTCTCTCAAACCTCAAACCGAATTCGAACAGAATTATAATTTGGTTCGGTCGGTTTAAACCGAATTATAATTCGGTTCGGTTTTTCACACAAAATCGAATTTGTGAAGCTACTTGTACTTTCTCACTTTTAAATTATTTTTCATCTCTAATATAAACAATAAATATGCAATTATATGCATCATCAATGATAAAATCAAACTTTTCAACACATAAATCATAAAACATTTCAAATATTTAAGTCTAAAAACAACTACAAACATAAAAATCCACCATTTGGAGCTTGCAATTATAGTATTTTGGTTTTTCAGTAGGAAATTCGGAAATTCTGTTCGGTTGAAAGAACCTTGATTTCCGAACTATCCATATTTTCCTTCCGAATTCCGAACTGAATAGCATTAATTCGGTTTCGGTTCGGTTTAATTCGGTTCAGTTTGGTTGGGGTTTACTGAACCGTTTGCCCACCCCTAGTTCAGGGCTTGGCATACGGTCAGTAATAAATAGGGACCATAGATCTAGGGGCGGAGCCATCGTGCGGCTGGGTTGGACGCGGAGTGCGGAGTGGCATATTTGTCCGTTTATAAATTTTAATTTTTTTCTTTTTTAATTTATCCAGCATTTAATTGCTGGCTTTTCAATGGATGAGAGAAAAATATTATTTTCTCTGCAACTCTCCTTTCTCTTTGTCTCTCCCATTCTCATTCTCCATATCTAGATCGACTCTCTTATCTTTTCATTTTTATTTTTTCTCCTTTCTCTTTCTATCTTCCTTCCTCTCTTCCAATCTCCTTCTCCATATATAGATATGCTTCCTTCTCTTCTTCTTTTTTTCCTCCAACAACCGATGAGAAAAATTGCAGCCTCTCTTCCTTCCTCTCTTCCAATCTCCTTCTCCATATATAGATATGCTTCCTTCTCTTCTTCTTTTTTTTCTCCAACAATCGATGAGAAAAATTGCAGCCTCCTTCTCTCATTGCGTTTTTCTCTTTATCAAATCGTTGATCTCAATTCCGATCTTTATCATTTTTTTGGCATTTTAGTGTTCTTGATTGCGAAAGAGGAAATGAGAGTAGACAGAAGACGATTTTTTTCCTTCCCTCTCCCTCCTTCTATCTTGTTTTTCTTTTAGGGAATATATATTGATATTACACACTATATCATACAGTATTGTGTGGTAATGAAATATATATTGATATTATCACACTATACCATATGGTATAGTGTGGTAATATCATATGGTATTGTGTGGTAACGAAATATATATTGATATTACCACACTATACCATATGGTAGTGAGTGGCAGTCGACACCAATTCTGAGAAATAAGAGTTAGAAGACAATGAAGGGGGAGAAGAAAGTGATGAGAGTCGCAATTGTATATATATATATATAGAGAGAGAGAGAGATTACCACACTATACCATATGATATTGGTGGTAACAAAATATTTTTTTTATGAATATCATGTTTTACCACGTAATACCACATGGTATTTAGATTTGAAATTTTACTTTTAGCATGTTATACCATATGGTATGGTAATTAGATTTGTAATTTTCAGTAGCATGTTTTACCAGGTAATACCACGTGGTATTGTATGGTAGTGTATGGTATTTTTATTTTTAGCAAGTGATAATCATATTCATATTTGTAATTGTGGTCCATATCACTAAATTATTTAACGAAAAATTATTATTCAATTTGTTGAGTTGGAATTAGAGCAGAGATAGTTGGGATGGTTAGATTCATTTTTGTTGTACAGATAGAGTTTTAGACTGTAAACAGCATATGCATTTCTCTTCCTCTTTTAGTTGTGGATGGCAGAGAGAAGAAATAATATAATTTTTCTTTTAATAATAAAACAGAGAGTGAGAGAGAGGGGAACACGCGTGGGACAGGGAGTGGGGTCCACGTCTGGTCAATAGTCAGCGCCCTCATTAAATGAGGGTGTGGGCAATTTATCATAATGTCCCTTCGTATTTAATTTAAATAAAAAAGAAAAGACTGACATATGGGGGCGAGGGGAAGTGGTTATTGATGGTTACTGATGGGAGGACTAGGGTTGGCTGCCCATTCTCGATCAAGAGGAAGAGTGTCATCGCTCGCCTTCGTCTCCTCCAAACGCGTCGACGCTTCTTGCTCCGCCGGTGCACAATCCCTCCGCCGGAAATTCGGCCAGCTAGCTTCTGACGTCTTCTCCTCTTCCTCCGTAGGTGCATCAGTCACCACGACCTCTTCCTTCTTCTTCGGAGCCTTCCACATCACGGCGGTCACCCCGAAGACCCAGCTCTGCTTCGCGGCGTCGGTCGCGGCCGCACTCCGTTTCTATCTTCTCGACAGCCGATGCAGCTACAATTGTCGTCTTCATCTTCTTCCTCTGAAGCACCAACAATTATTCCTTCATCTTCGCCCGCTTCTCTTCTTCTTCATCGGTCGTCCGCCGCCCTCAGAATCGCGCCGCAGGCAAAGAACCCTGGCGGTCGTTCTCCTCTTTCACGGAAGACGTCGCCCGGGTTGGATCCAACGTCAATCGCGCAACGGGAGCACCCACGTTGATCCCCTGCTTCGTTGTCTCTTCTGATGTTGTCACCGTGATGAGAGCCGTCGTCGTTCTATGCATAGCTTGCAGGATTCGCGACTCCAGTGAGTCTGTCCAGAGGTTCGTCGTCGATTAGGCTTTGTGTCGTCGGTCATTGCCCGCGTGGAGCTTAGTCATTGTCTCGAAGTTCTTGGTCGTCCATTCTGTTTCGAAGTTCTAAGGATTCTAGGGACTGATCTTCGACACCCGCAATTGCTCGTAACAAATAAAGAGAAAGAACTAGAGATTTTGAAACAAAGACGGTTAGGGGTGAAAATCGGTACGGTATCGGTATCCCAATACCAAATACCGAAATCCCGAATACTGAATTACATCCTATATTCAATCCCAATCCCTAAATGTTTCGGTATCCCAATCGGTATTATCGAACAAGAAACTAATTACCTTTGCAATTAATAATTAAATATATAAATTAGATTTGGTTGTTTAATACAGGACAAAGAGGCTAAGCCAAGAGTCTTGAGTTTTGCGAGCTAGGATATGGATAAGGAGAATGGAGGAGATGTGACATCTCAAGTTTTTGTGAGTGGTAATCTTTAATGTGATGAATTGGAGGCTGAGAGAAGACTAATACTGGTGTTTGCTTTTTAGTGTTATGAAAATAACAATTGATTGGTGGTTGAGGATCGCGTAGTAGTGAATGAGAGAGTTTAGTTGAGATCATAAAATACACACTAGTTTATATTTCGGTATTGTTCGGTATTTCGGTATATACCGATCTCAATCTCGTAATCTCTAATACCGAATAACAATTGAAATTGAATCACAATCCCAATCACAAAATATAATACGTGTATTCGGTAATACTAAATATAGACAAATTTGGTACGATATTCGGTATATCCCAAATACCGGTACCAAATTTCCAGCGTGTTTGATGTATATGTTATAAACCCGCTAAAGTCCTAGCCAGGGCAAAAAGTTTCTCCACTCGATCCTACTCTTTACAGAAGTCCAGAGAATATGGGTAGTCAAGTAGTCTGGCTGGCCCATTAGAATGGACTCCAGTGAACTGTCCGTGGAACAGCTCAAGCCCAAATCTGACTTTTCCAACATAAAAAGCACTGGAAATTGGTCGTTAATCCAAAACCCTTGCTAAAACCCGCGTCAGGTGAGCTGAGCACTGAAGAAGAACGCTCCGGGAGAGAAAAAGAGAAGGGAAATGGGGAAGAAGAAAAGGAGAGCTGAAGTTGAAACTGAACCTGAACTACCTGAAGCAGCGACTGTTTCAGCTGCCAAGGCCGATAGTGATCAGGGTTTCATCAATGGAGATTCCAACAAAAAGACAAAGAAGAAGAAGAAGAAGAAGACGAGGAATATAGAAAATGAAGGAGGCGATGAGAAAGAGACGGAAAGAGAGAACGGAGCCAAGGAGCTGCCTACCGTTAGCGTAGCCGTATCCGGTTCCATTATCGATAACGCTCAATCGCTTGAACTCGCCACTCGCGTAATCCTCTTCCTCTACTTTGCTCTCTCCTCCAATGGCGCGTTTACTGCCTAGGGTTTTAATTTCTATCAGGAAAAGCAATTTGAAGTCTCTAATTTTTGCTTATGGCTAGTTTTTCCATCTTACTTTGCTTTCTTAGCTGGCTGGTCAGATTGCTCGTGCCGCTACCATCTTTCGGATAGACGAGGTTTTGGCTCTAATCTTACTTGAACCAGTGCTCTTTGATTTCATACATTATCTCAGCGATATGAACCCTAGGTTTGCGTTGACAGGTGGTGGTATTCGATAATAAGGCCACTTCTTCGAAAGAGGATCCCACTACAACAATGAACAGCGTTTCAGATGGGAATGAAAGTGGGGCGGTTTTTCTAGTCAGGATCTTGAGGTATCTTGAAACTCCGCAGTATCTGCGGAAGGCTCTGTTTCCTAAACATAATAGCTTACGATTTGTGGTGAGTGATTGATTCAGAGACTGCTTCTGGTTGTAATGTTTGTGTTTTAGGGTATGTTCTGTTTGAATTCATTGTTCATGATGGTTGATGAAGAACATTTCTTTCTTTTCTTATTCTTCTTCCACAGGGAATGTTGCCTCCGCTTGACGCCCCGCACCACCTTCGCAAGCATGAGTGGGGGCCATTCCGGGAAGGTGCGGGTCTTGCTTAACTCGTTAATCATGCATTTTTTGTTTGTTTGAGTTTGAGACTAACTTAATGACTTAAGTTGCATTACACTACAGGGATCACATTGCATGAGAAATGTCCAGACCCTGCTGGAACACTGGTCGATGTAGGTCTGACCAAGGTAATAATTTGTTGTATGCTTGATCGTCACGTCTCCTTGACATTTCGTTGGCTTCGTTTGGTTCGATGCATTTCGGCTGTTTGGCCCCCTGTTCTGTTTCTTTCCCCTTCTCGCCTTTTTTATTTCTTTGGGTTTCTATGTACTACGTTCCCCCGGGTTCAGTTCTGCTGAACCCTTGCCATTCTTATTTTCATATTATCACCTTCATCAAAAAAATATTTTGTTGAAGCTAGAGCTGACATCAATTGTACATTTTTGTGTGGTTTTGCTGGCTGCCTGCATGAATGTCATTCTCGGTGTATATGGTGATTTCCATGCTTATTGCTATTATCTTCACTAGCTGAAAATCGGCTGAATGATTTTGCATGTGTGCTTGATTCTATTTCGTCTTGAATCATGATTTATGCAATCTTTCTGTGATCCATGTTTGACCTGCTGAACTCTTTGATGCTCTAGGATCTAGATAGAAAAAGTCTTCAGTAATGTGATGTTTTACAGATCTCAAGCTAAATTATGCAGAGTGTTGTGATTGATCAACGAATTGAAGCAGGGACAAGGGTAACGGTAGCTATGGGAACTGATCGGAATTTGGATTCAGGTGAGGAACGTGCCCTTTTATCTCATAGAATGATTCAGTTCCCGAACTAAAGATAGCATTTGACACCAAAAGCAGCCAGATAGCCGCGACTGTTGACTGATCCCTCTGGAGGATCTTCTTTCCCTTTAGCTTTCTTTATTGAAAATGCCATTTCCTTGTGCTCTCTGGTGGCACCTGAGTGTGCCCTGAATGTTGACAATATTGCTTACGGGGTGCTGCTAAACTTTATCTACTCCTAAGATTTTCTATGCTCACAATTGCAGGCATGCCACGACCAATTGTTCCATTGTCCAAGCCCAGGGAGGAATCAGGAATGTACTGGGGGTACCGAGTGCGATATGCTTCAAATATCAGTTCTGTGTTCAAGCATTGTCCATTCAAGGTTTTGATCTTACGCTATCTGTTTTGTTTTTTATGGCATGTGTACTTTTTTCTGCTACTGGTAAGCTATATGTAATAAGACTTAGTACGTGTTTACACCAATTGCAGGGTGGATACGACCACTCTATTGGTACATCTGAGCATGGTCTAAAATTAAGTTCATCAGAGCTTTCTCTGCCTCCTTTCAAGTAATGTTCTTGTTCCTTTCCTCTTCCCAATCCTCCTTTTCTTCCTTCAATCTGTTAGTTGTGTGTCTGAACTGTTTCATGTGTATATGCTCTAGTTTGTCAAGATTCTTGAGCTTTTTAATCTTCGTGTCTCAATCTACTAAGGAGTTGGTAAAGATTCATGTAATAGCCTGGAGCGTGTCAAGTAGTTGCTACCATAAATCTAAGTTGATTATCAATATCAAATTACTTTGTGGTTGCTAATAATTTGACTGTCGTCAACATCATTCTAGGCATCTGTTGATTGCTTTTGGTGGACTTGCTGGGTTGGAAGAAGGTGTTGAAGAAGACAGCAGCTTAAAGGTACTATTCAATCTTTCTGTAGTATAAGCTGAAATCTTCGGGATGCTTTTTCACTTACTTGAGTGCGAGCTGTACCTCAACTCCACTCTGCAATTCATACTCTAGCTTATCATGCTGTTTTTTCCCCCGCATCTCTCTCAAGGGCACAAATGTCCGAAAGGTGTTTGACTCATACCTGAACACATGTCCAGATCAAGGGAGTCGGACAATTCGAACAGAGGTTTGTACCCTGTCTTTGTTCATCAGTATGTTTTCCCTTACAAAAATCATCGTACTAATAAATATGGGTATTCACAATGCGTTTTTTTCCTGGGCCAACTTCAACAGGAAGCAATCCTCATATCCCTCCAATATTTCCAAGAACCTATAAACCGCTTTCTGCAGAGATTTCATCACTGAGTTCAACAACTTTGGACATAAGCAACTCTCAAGACATTATGAGCTGTGACAAGTATACGACCGATCATATTCGTGCCTAAACTTGCGCGAAGGATGACGAGGATCTTGCAATCTTTCAACGAGCTAGTTAGTAGGTTCAGATTTTGTAACTTCATCTTTCTCTCTCCTTTTATTTTTCTGTCCAGGTTAGGTAAAATCTTTGTTTACCTTCTGGAATCATTACATTGAAATGTGAATTCATCAAAGCAAATCGCTAGATGGTGGTGTAGACTAAGAGATGACTATCTTTGGCTTCCATATTCGAATGTTGAGGTTTTGATCTCTTGTTTCTTAGAGCATGGTAAGCAGGTAAAAGAGCCATAACCGAATTCATTGTTTTTCAAAATCAATTGCTGTGCAAAATTAACTTTCAAATGAAATGTTATGATTTGTTTTTATAAGGACTACAAAAAAATGTGAATATGCAGTGAACAAACAAATGAGAAATGGGGACGTGAGGTCTTTGGCCGGCTGGGGAACGGCTTCGGCTGGAACTTCTTCCTCCGGCTTCGTCTTTCTCCTTCCAGGGTGAGCGGCTAGGGGTGGGCAACGGGACGGGATACCTGTCCTATTTGAAACAGGTACCCAGTCCCGTTTAGAGACCAAAGTCCTTCCCATATCCCAAACCCATATGGGAAATGGGTACCCATTACCCGTACGGGGCGGATAACGGGTACCCATAAATACCCAAAATTTAAACCACTAAAATTTTAACAAAAGTTTAAACTTAATATTCTTAATTAGCCCAACATATTAGAAACATAACTAGTAATTAGCAGAACAAACCTAACTAGTAATTAGGAGTCCAGAATCTGTAAGCAGAAAAGAAAAGAGAATGCGAAATCAACAAACAACCCAAATCAAGAAGAATCAACAAATTAAATCTAACTAGTAATTAACAGAACAAACCAAATCAACAAACAACCCACACACTTTAAACTATGCTGAAAATTTAAAATTCCCAAGGGGAAAAAAGAAAAGCTTCTCGTTCCTTCCACGGAGCTCAAACCTTAATACCGGCGGGATTTCCATCAGTAAATTAGTAGTGGGCTTTGCTTAATTCCACGGAGCTCAAACATAACTAGTAATTAGCATAACAAACCTAACTAGTAATTGAGTCTTTGAGCAGAGCTGCTGCCGAGTGAGTGCTGATGGACGTTTGCGGACGGCGGACTCGCGGTGCTCCTGGCCGGCTGCTGCTGATCTGCTATTGAATGGATTGGAGGCGGCTCAGTAGAGTGAGAAGAAGGAAGTCGCGGCGGTGAATGAAGGAGGAAGCGGAGGCGTGGAGCTAGGTCTCGGCCGTCTCGCTGTCACTGAGACGCTGACTCGCTGAGTGCTTGAGTCTCACACTCTCATTGTCTGAAAGTGAGAGGGAATTGAAAGGGTAACTGGATAAGGGCCGAAATGGGCTGGGCTGTGCTGGGTAATTGATTTATGAATTAGTGAATTGGGCTGGGATGTGGGCTTAAATGAATTTCTATTGAATGGGTATAACGGGTACCTAGGGATGGCAATCGGTCGGGTCGGGGACGGATAGTGCATATCCGTTACCTTACCCAAAGTAGTTCGGGTTTTACCCATACCCACATGTGCAACGGGTAGAAAATTAAAACCATGCCCATACCCGTTCGGGTTTCGGGTATCCATGGTTATCCATGGGTAATGATTTCTCTTCATAACTCCAACCAATATGTTAACATTCACACGTATTCTCACATTACGTAAGTAGAAAAAGTATGACAATAATTCACTAGAATGAATAAATTAATTAAAACAACACAATTTCATGAAAATATTATATTTATATGCTAAATATAAAATATGTTAGAGAAAAATAATGATTATTTCTAGACAAAATACATATGTATGTGTATAATCGGGCGGGTTCAGGTTGGATAGTGAGAAACCCATGCCCACCCATTACCCGCAATATTCGGGTTCGGGTTTTACCCGTACCCACTAAATGTCCTACAGGTTCGGGTTTTACCCTACCCGATTAGACCGGATTCGGGCGGATATCCACGGTTACGGATATTTTTGCCATCCGTACGGGTACCCACATTACCCAAACGGGTATTTGCGGGTAACCCGCGGCTACCCATATTAGGAATATACAATCCCAAGTCCCATCCGTTTATAATATTACGGGTAATATGGGTACCCGTAACCCTTAAAAAACGGGACGGGTACGGGTATACCCAAATACCCGTTTCCCGTTGCCCACCCCTATCAGCGGCTGGACCTTTTTCTTTCTCCTTCCACAACAACAACAGTCTGTTGCCGGTTATGGGGAACGGCAGCGGCGGCCAGAAAGGGAAGAGCTTCCAGAAAAAAAGAATGCAAAGTTCTCTATCGGGATGATTGAAGCAAGCCAAGAAGAAGAATTGCTCTAATGAGCTGTGTGCTAAGCAAGGGGTAGCTTTTCACCGCCATCGCAGTGGCATTGCCTTGGGAGACTTTCCATCACTATTCACTAGTTAGTCTTCTCCATCTTTCTCTCTCCTTTTATGTTCAACTTCCCTCATCTTGTCTCCCGTTAAAAGGTCCGACGGATTAATCATGTACTCGCTGCTGGTGGTTGATCCTCGATGGTCTCCCTTTGCCGGCGATTTCATGGTGATTTCGTGATTCTTTGGAAATTGGGTACTAGAGTGTGGTATTACTCCAAATATGGAAAATACACGGTCAAATCGGACGGTCACCTCTGGAATCAAATCTGGCCTCAAGTCAAATATCGATAATTCATATTATCGACCCCCATTTGGAAAAAGACTTGGAATATCCAAGTCCTACCTAATTAATTTAATTTCTTCATACAAGAATGCCTCAAGGTCATTCTCCCCACAGTGGTAACTCTACAAAATCGTGGAGTTAACTGCCTCAACCGATGCCTGTGTGCTGCCAGCATCAAGAGAGCATTGATAACCAGCGAGGGTGTCTTGTTGATAACATTAATGGTTAATTCTATTGATTACGAGAATTTTGAATTTAATTGCTGGTTCTGAGTATTAAACTGCAGTTTTAATTTTTCAGTAGACGTTTAGATTTAGAGGGCTCCATTGGGGTGAGCTGATTCTATGGCATCAAAATAATTCCAGTTAATTTCATTTAACCAGTGGGCGTTTTACTTTCAACATCAAATCTCTCATCAGTTCAAATTGGGATTAATTCACAAGTTCTGTTTTAGAAGACTCCTTTGACAAGCCTTCATACTCAGCTTAGGATTAAGTCTCTCTGCCGTTTTAGTCGATGGTTAAAAGTTAAAACCTTCATAATTACTTTTCCGTAAGTAACTTTGACTCATTTGATATTAGTCCTTCAATTAGTAGGAACATTAATTTTGTTTAAAATTAATATCTTAGCCTTCAAGTCAAGTCCCCTCTAAGCTAAAAAAAAGCATAGGGTAATACCTCAAGGCAATTCTACTTAAAGTCATACAAGGTAATACCTCAGGGTAATACGTCAATAGCAATGCCTTGGAGTCATTCTCCTCATAGTGGCGGCCCTTCAAACCCGTGGAGTAAACAGCCTCAATCGATGCCCTGTTTGCTGGAGACATCAAGAGAGCATTGAACATTTATTCTAGATGCCCCCTAGCCACCAGATTGTGGGCTTTAGTGGGATTGAGCAACTTTATTGACACCGCCCCGACTGTTAACTTTAGTCTATGGTGGTGACATTTTATGGTCTCTAAGACCCCCCACTCCACATTCTCCAATGCATCTGCCTACTTTGGAGAATCTGGAAGTTTAGAAATAAAGTGACTTTTGAATTATATCAACCTCATATTTGTTCCCTAGCCAGAAAATTCTACAACCAGGTCCTTGAAGTATCCAACCTTCTTCCCCCCCCCCCTCCTCCACCCCGCAGATCTCTCCTCCCAAACCATCCAGCCACCACGTGGGTCCCTCCACCAGATGACTATTTGAAGATCAATTTCGACGCTGCTGTTTGTGCCACTTGGTGTTCGTCTAGGCTTGTTGTCTGTGGGTCAAACGGGCATGTGGTGTTGGCGTTTGGGTTGCGACATTCCGGAATAGTCAGCCCCTACCTAGCAGAGCTCCTAGCCATTAGAGACACTATCTACATCGTTTCCTCAAGATCATTGACTCACGTGATAGTCGAAGGTAATTTCGAAGTGGTCGTCAACCAGGTCCGACATGCGTCATAGAAGACTAGATTGGTGGTCCGGTGATCTGGGAGTGTTGTCAGATCCTAGACTCCTTGTCAGTTTGTATAGAGTTTAGGGCGGTGCCTAGAGCTGGCAACAGTGCTGCCCATAGAGTGGCGCGTAAAGCACTACTTTTATCTCATCTAGAGCTAGAATCTTTCAATTTTTTGGAGTGGCTTTATTAGATTTTTATTGTAAGGGGTCCTGAGTAGTTTTGTTTGTATAACTCTTGTTTTCTCTTGATATCACTCGGGAATAAAAAAAAAACAAATGAGATATGGTCTCTTCATTATTCCCACACAAAGAACACGCACTTGAATTAATTGAATTGAATTCTCAAATTCCATTTGGAGCAATTTTGAAAATTTTAATTAAAATGTTCCAAATACACTCATTAACTTTAGTAGTGTATTCAAGTGAAATCATTGAAAGCAGGCACCAACTATATCACCTGGAGTTCCAAATGAAACGACATTGGCATTCCTTAGCCTATTGAATTAGCAACTACCCTAACATAGTAGTCGATTCATGTAGTAGTAGTTTAGCAACTTATCATAAGCACGACGATGAAAAAGCCGCATGAGGAGCACACAAAGAGTTATGATATAGGAGGCAAACTATGTTTATGTATTATGTTTAGGATTGAGCATGGTAGAACTTTATCCCGGATGAAGTTCTAAAAGATATATGGTACTCATTTGTACCTAAACTCTTTTAGCTAGTTGTTTACACATAAAATATTTTTGGCCTAAATTCAATGCCGTAATAATAAGTCTTGGCATTTAATTCGATATCGCATGGCCAAAACGATGTCGTTTGGAGTCGAGCAATACCGCGGAGAATTTAACCGAGACCGCGAAGAGGCTCGGCGGTACCGCGGTACTTGAAACTACATTGGTTGCAGACCATGTGTGAGTCATGCGCAGGATTTGTGTTGCTGTTGGACAAGGATTGTTTCTTATTTTATTTTTCCTTGTCGGAGGAGGAGAGTAACATCACCGTTTGGAGTCAAGCAATGCTGCGAAGAGATAAAACGGTGCCGCGAACCTCAAAGCTCAACGGCATAGACTGGGAAACAGTGTCGTTTGGCTAAAAACGGCACCGCGACAAGTGGCATCGCGGATGAGTTAAAACGATACCGCGAAACAAAAAACGGTACCGCAAGGAAGCTCAGCGGTACCGCGGCACTGGAAACGACACTGTTTACCAGAAAACAAGATGTGAGCCGCGCGTTTAGTATTGGTGTTGGAAAAGGAGTTTTTTAATTAATTATTATTTTTATTCCATGTCGGAGAAGGATAAAAAACAACATCGTTTAGTGACAAGCAATGTCGCGGGTAGAACCAAGCGGTGTTGTTTAGTTAAAAACGATACCGCGAGTAAGCCCAACGGTACCGTTGTGCTAGAGAAAACGACAGTGTTTAATATAAAACAATGTCGCGGAGAAAAAGAAAACGAAGCTGTTTGAGGAAGAAAACGACACCGCAAGTAAGCCCAACAATGCTGCGGTACGTGAAATATTTAATTAATGCGGTGTGGCAAGGCTAAAAATGCCGCTAGTTAAACAACAACACAGCGGAATTGATGTCGCTGTCTCAAATTCAGTGGTGTTGCGAGTTCGACAACGCTGAGAAATTCAACGATGCCACAAGGCCAAAACAACATCGTGGAGCTCAACGACGTAGTGAGCTTGACGGTGTTGCAAGCTGAGCAATGACGTGAATGGGTTCAACGACGTCGTTATGGAAACTTTGTTGGTGGAGGCGTAAACGACGTCGCGGGCTCATGAAAATAACAGAGTTATTTTCTTGCACGGGAGATTCAGGAGTGAAGAGAAGATCAAAGCGGTTGAAGACTACGACTCTATGGATAAGAGTGAAGACACGTGGGAGTTCACGACGGAGCGGTTGAGGAAGCAGTTCCACAGGGCGTGAAGACTACGCAAGTGATTTCAAATAAAAGCAGCGGATCAAGGAGAGAGGGGACAACCAAATCAACACAGAAACACATCTGTCAAACTTTACCTTTTTTCTCTGTAACTCCTTCGCGTAGCTCTCCTTCCATGAAGGATCTCCATAGTTGTAGTCTTAGTCGTAGTCGCGGAGCTCTCCACAGGAATCTCCATAGGAGTAGCGGTAGCGTAGATTCCTCAAAACTCAAACACCCTCGTTCGAACGTAGTTTCGAGAGGTGCGAACCGTTGTAACGGTCGCGTTGGTTAGAAGTCTGAGGTGCATCGATCAAATCAACATCGCCCGGCGGTGGATATTTGACGGTCACGTTGATTTCACCATTCAGAGGTGCATCGATCAAATCAACATCGCACGGCGGTGGATATTTGACAATCGTCTTCGTTTTCAGAAGTCACTTGCATCGATCAAATCAACACCGCTTGGTGGATACTTGATAGACCGTCATTTACACATGTTTTTACCCCCATTCTTACACCGTTTGAGGTGTTGATTCTCGTGTTTTAGGCCGATTTCACGCTAGGTTGTGCTTGTTTGTGATGTTTCAGGTCCTAGTACGTGAATGAAGGCTTAGGAGCGAGTCTGGGGTCGATTGGACGAAGAACGGACGAATGGCGAGGTTTTTTGGGAGCTGCACGGGCAGACCAGGGAGGCTGCACGGCCGTGCACGTGAGCAATATGGCCGTGCGCCTTATGCCGAGGACACGCACGGGCAACCCCTGAAGCTCGCACGGCCGTGCACCCTGGTCGTGCGAGAGGGCTGAAGTTCGACTAAATGACACGCTGCGTTTTGAGTTGCACGGCCAGAATGGTGATATGCACGGCCGTGCACCCTGGCCGTGCGAGTCGGGATTTCCTGGTTTTAAGCCAAATTCCGAACCAAAGAAGAGGGGAGCTGGGTTTTGGATCCCAAACACCCAAGGGACGAACCCTAGAGAGAGAGAGCGACTTGGGAACGTTCTTGGAGCTATTTTGGAGGATTTCTTCGCCATTGAAGCTCGGGAATCAAGCTTGGAGATGGAGATTGAAGATCTAGATCAGATTTCTGCAGTCTCTCTCTTCTTTATGGAGTAACTTCCTTTCACTTAGGTTTTGAGGAACCCTAGTTCCATGAGTTAGGATCTTTCTTGTATGAAGTTTTGGATGGTTTATTGTTTGATTATAATCGAATGATGCATGTTTATTGAGTCAATTGAAGTCTGATCAACTTTTCCTGATTCCTGCTGCAATCTGAGATAGATAGAATCTGATTAGGTTGCTAGAGTCTCATCATTCGGTAGTAGGATATTGGCTATACGAGAGTTAGCCAGTTTACTGCTTTGTACTGGAATCCAATTCCAGTAGTGGAGTTCTGTGCTTATTGCTTCAGCTTTCTATCCCGGTGAAGACTAGTCGTCTGCCGGATAGTTCGACTGAGAGGGTTTGGTCAGCTTAAGAGATTCCAAGCTACTGTCGGATCTTCCGCAGTTTAATCAACAGTAAAACAACCAAAAGGAATTACAACTTGGACCTAATTGAGGAGCTAGGGGGAATCATACCTAAGTGAGTTCCCAAACTGTAATTAGTAGTTTTACTTAGTTGAGTTAGTAGAGTAGTTTAGTTAATCAACCCTTAATCTAGTTTGCTAGATAATGAACTGAAGCTGAGTAATAGTAACTCTAGAGACCCGTGGATTCGATATTTATTACTTGTGCCACTATACTGCAGTCCCTTTCATTGGTTACACTTGGCCATTGTTAGGTGTTGTGTTTTCGAGCATCAAGTTTTTGGCGCCGTTGCCGGGGACTTTCTAGAGTATTAGGAAAGGCAGAAGTTTGTTACTTTAGCGTTTTTCTGTTCTTTTCCACCCTTGCTTTTCACTTGGGTGTTTTTGTTTTTGTTGGTGCAGATCTGAATCATGGATCCTAATGGCTTCTCCAATCATTGGGGGTATCCACCACCATCCGGGTGGTATTACCCCGCGACTCCCTACAACAATCAAGGAGGAGAAGACTATGGATTCGGGTTCCAGTACCAACCCCCTTACTACGGAGAACAATCAGACCCCTGGGCATATCAAGAACAACCTCATTACCAAGAAGACTTTCTCCCACAACCAGAAGGGCCATCGGAGCTGGAGTTACCCATGGCGGCCTTCACGGGCCACTCTGCAGAGCCATGCTACACTTCACTGGAAGATCCGAACGAACAATTAAGGCTTCTCGTGGAGCAGTTTGCTCGAGACACTGAGAAATCATGCTCCAAGATGGATCTTCAAATCAAAGCCCTTGCCACTTCCGATCCCTCATTTCTCCATGATATGGAGGAGACTGTTCAGCGCTCAGTGAAGCAAACAGAGTGGGTGAAGCAAGTTTGCTCACATCTTGCTCAAGATCACCTTTTTGCTGCCACGCTAGAAGAGGTGGAGGATGACAAAGGCTATGGGAGCGTTGAGGAGCATACAGAAGTTATCACAGAGAACTCCCATGATAACCATGATCAGGAAAGTCCTTTGGTTGCAGACCACACCTTTCCTCATTTATGCTCTAACATGTTGGGCCCGTGCGAGGAGAGGCAAGATGATCCCATTGAAGAAATTGCTTGGCGACTTGCTCTCCAATCTGTTCTAGAAGAAGAAGAGCGAACAAGGATGAGGAAGAAAGTTGTGGATGATGAGGAAGAAAGAAAAGAAGAGGTGGTTCTTGATCTTTTCCCAGGGGAGAGACCACATTTTGAAGAAGGAAGGGGGGGTTGAGGAAGCAATTGGCGTCCAGGCTGAGGATGAAGTTGAGGTGGAAGAGGCATGCACCGGCCATGAGTTGCAAGTAATATCCCCACCAAACTTTGAGGAACTGCTTGGCAAGGACCCATTTGCAGTGTCTCTGCCAGACCAAGGCCACATCGACATCGGTCCCTCTTGGTGGACGCGATGGTGGCCAATCGATGCTGTCATATCTGGTTTGGGGCAATGAGACGAGAGAAGAGAAGAAGAGGTCTCGAGGGTGGAGACTTCATCTGCATCAAGTACATGAGCCTTCATCACCTGCCACACCACATGCTCGTGACTTGAGACTCCACCTCATCGACGAGAACCTCAACTTCAAGGAGGTTCTAGCATGGACCGAAACTTAGGAGCCATCGTCCGGCTCACGACGTGAAAGAAGCGCTTGTTGGGAGGCAACCCAACCAGTCGGTTTGCATTTCTTTCTGTATTTCTCCTCGGTTGAGTCAGTTTTGTTATTTGATTTTAGAGTCAATAACTCAACCTTTGTGAGATTTTATGTGGTGTTTGTGTTCTGATTACTCTCTCTTCCTGGACTGCATTGCCTGACCCGTACATCATCATTCACCCTTGATCTGGTAACTTCGTTCAACCCTCCTTATCTTATCCTCCATTGAGGACAATGTCGTGCTTAAATGTGGGGGGGTGTTCGATTATGTATGCGGGTGAATGTTTGGCTGTTTGTGTGCTTGGAGCCTAGTCCACTGTCCAAATTTTTAAATTTGAGGGCTCCAAGTACGTGTTTCCTTGCAATTGCCTGTTCAGTATGCTTTGAATTGACAGTCTTTATAGTAATATGCAACCTAGGGAGGTAGTGTAGCACTATGGAGGATGTTGATGCATTTAAGAAGTCTCGTTTCTTCTTCATATTGTGTTGGTTGATTGAGTGAATTAGTGATCTTAGGACCCTTGAATTGTGTGGTGTTGTGGATTCTCTGCCTGTCATGGACTCTTGTATCATGTTTTGAGTTTAACAGGTGCTCGAAAATGTGCTTCAAATAACGTCTCCCGTGCGAATAGGGCGAAAGTGTGTAAGGGGAGACGGGAATTCGTTCCCAATTTCCACCTACTACCTCCAGCCCCCTTACATGTCTTTCCCCCGCACGAGGCTCGAGACACCCGCTCCTGGCATGGCCGGTAAGAGCAGGTTGGGACCCTTGAAAAGAAAAGAAAAGAAAAATAACAGAAAACAAGCAAAATAGAAAAAAAGGGGGTTCCAACCATCTTCAAGAATAAAATAGAGCACCTTGAAAAATGTGAGTCCATGATCTTTTGTTTTTGAGAATATCTTCATCCACAATTCATTTGTCCTCTGTTCACTATTTGCCGTGATGCCGACTCGCCGAAGAAGTTATGAGATGACTTGTGCGTCGGTTGACCTCGTAAGTTGCTAAATGATCTAGGAAGTCCTCTACCTACGATCTGGGTTGTTTGTTGCTATAGAGGTCTGGAGAGTTGCATTGGTTTGAGTTAGGTTTGCTTGGGGACAAGCAAACGGTTAAGTGTGGGGGAGTTTGATAGACCGTCATTTACACATGTTTTTACCCCCATTCTTACACCGTTTGAGGTGTTGATTCTCGTGTTTTAGGCCAATTTCACGCTAGGTTGTGCTTGTTTGTGATGTTTCAGGTCCTAGTACGTGAATGAAGGCTTAGGAGCGAGTCTGGGGTCGATTGGACGAAGAACGGACGAATGGCGAGGTTTTTTGGGAGCTGCACGGGCAGACCAGGGAGGCTGCACGGCCGTGCACGTGAGCAATATGGCCGTGCGCCTTATGCCGAGGACACGCACGGGCAACCCCTGAAGCTCGCACGGCCGTGCACCCTGGCCGTGCGAGAGGGCTGAAGTTCGACTAAATGACACGCTGCGTTTTGAGTTGCACGGCCAGAATGGTGATATGCACGGCCGTGCACCCTGGCCGTGCGAGTCGGGATTTCCTGGTTTTAAGCCAAATTCCGAACCAAAGAAGAGGGGAGCTGGGTTTTGGATCCCAAACACCCAAGGGACGAACCCTAGAGAGAGAGAGCGACTTGGGAACGTTCTTGGAGCTATTTTGGATGATTTCTTCGCCATTGAAGCTCGGGAATCAAGCTTGGAGATGGAGATTGAAGATCTAGATCAGATTTCTGCAGTCTCTCTCTTCTCTATGGAGTAACTTCTTTTCACTTAGGTTTTGAGGAACCCTAGTTCCATGAGTTAGGATCTTTCTTGTATGAAGTTTTGGATGGTTTATTGTTTGATTATAATCGAATGATGCATGTTTATTGAGTCAATTGAAGTCTGATCAACTTTTCCTGATTCCTGCTGCAATCTGAGATAGATAGAATCTGATTAGGTTGCTAGAGTCTCATCATTCGGTAGTAGGATATTGGCTATACGAGAGTTAGCCAGTTTACTGCTTTGTACTGGAATCCAATTCCAGTAGTGGAGTTCTGTGCTTATTGCTTCAGCTTTCTATCTCGGTGAAGACTAGTCGTCTGCCGGATAGTTCGACTGAGAGGGTTTGGTCAGCTTAAGAGATTCCAAGCTACTGTCGGATCTTCCGCAGTTTAATCAACAGTAAAACAACCAAAAGGAATTACAACTTGGACCTAATTGAGGAGCTAGGGGGAATCATACCTAAGTGAGTTCCCAAACTGTAATTAGTAGTTTTACTTAGTTGAGTTAGTAGAGTAGTTTAGTTAATCAACCCTTAATCTAGTTTGCTAGATAATGAACTGAAGCTGAGTAATAGTAACTCTAGAGACCCGTGGATTCGATATTTATTACTTGTGCCACTATACTGCAGTCCCTTTCATTGGTTACACTTGGCCATTGTTAGGTGTTGTGTTTTCGAGCATCAATACTTGACGGTCGATTTCAGCAATCAGCGGTGCATTCGATCAAATGGCACCGCAAGAGTTTCCATCGCCGGAAACGAATTCGGCACCGGTGGTGGTATTTGGTTTTCCCGAGGAAACAATTTAGCACACCTGGTGGGACACGTGTGTTTGAAGTGAAATATGGCTCTGCGGCATGGAAAACACAACGTTGATCTTCCACAAGAATATGTGAAGGTGGAGCGCGTGCCCGACATTGAAGTTGGCCGAACAGAGGAGGCAGATAGACATATTGGTTGGATGAAGGAGTGGCCTCAATCCATGTCGAGCATCGATGGGCATGTTGCACTCCTGTATCTTCGTCGATCTGTAGAGGAGTATTACCGGCAGGTAAATCTCTATTTTATCTCTTTAAATAAGCCTTATGATTCTCTTGGAAGACATATGGATAAAATTTTTGAGATGATAGATGAACATGTTTCCGGTATCGCCAATAAGGATTCACTTAAACTTGTGGCTAAAATAGTGGCGTTAGGGGCCAGCAAATCTCATCTTGGTTCTCTTGTGAACACTATTGTTTTGAAGGACAAGAAAGTTAGAGGTACTTGCGAAAGCCACAACAAAGAACAAAATTTAAACGTATTTATAATAAGTTTCAGAAAATTAGGAAGAACAAGTGTGATATCTTGAAAGATGACAAATTTTATAACA